GAACCGCCAGCCAACTGCCTTTTTTCACAGCAAGAAAAAATCAAATCTTACAAGGGAATGGTCAGAAATCGAAGTGGCCAATCCATACAAGCTGCATACCTTTCGATGCAGCACAGAATACTGATTTCAAATCTGTCTTCCGTATCTGCAGAGCGCCTTTGTAGGCGAAGTTATGAGCAGCTTTACCGCGGAAAAATCGTATACAAAAAGTGCAAAATTAGGCACATTTTTACACTTTCAGCTCACCTCTAGGTACGGGTCATATGAAGTACCTAGTTGCATGTTTTAGTCCAACAATGAGCCGAGAATGGCTTTGTACGGCCAGGTTTGCACTTTATACGTACAATTTCCTAGCAAAATAGTGGCTTTCAACGGCTTGTAATTTCGTCCAGAAGAGGGCTCTGCAGATAAGGAAGACAGATTTAAAGACAGCGTTTTATGCTGCATCTAATGGTATGCAGCTTGTTTGGATTGGCCACTTCGACTTCTGACCATTCCCTTGTTAGAAAGTTGGCATATTAGGTTTCCCGAAAGTTTTGTCTGTTTTTTTCGTCGCTCACCAAAACTCACAATACACCAATCTATGGACGACATAGGTACCATTTGATTCAGATTTTTGTCCTCTTTCTTACAGTTATATTTTCTCTCTGATCTATCCTGTCTTTGCAATGTTATTGCCATGGCTCTTTGAGCAGTTCAGCAGTAACGCTAAATTTTTCTAAATTTAGAAAATCTTTATCCTGATGTTTCCAAAAAACACAAATAACCGTTATATAGTGCAAACCTTTGGCTACATTGCATCAATTTAGATTGCAGGGCCACATTTACCAAGTTCGTTATAACTATTTGTTTAGTAAAAACTACAAAGTAAATATTACTTTGTAGTCCAAAAATTGCTCTTTTTGACCTATACTTAACCTTATCCAAAACTTTTGAATAAAATTTTCAAAAATTAGCCTAACTTTGAGCAGATAAAATTGACGGATAAAGAGTTTTAGCAATTATCAAAAAAAGCATACAAAATTGTGGTTCAAAAATGCATCCATAAGAAAGAGAAGGAGAAGCTGCATCAAGCATTCAGTTGTTTATCGTGTGTGGTTTTACAGTGGTTTGAAAAAACGGACAAAACTTCTCGGACAACCTAATATTTTCACACGCGGAGAAGGGCTCAAATAATGGTTTTTTTACTTGCTCGCAAAAATTTCTATGCAGCAAAGATAACTCGAATTCTCTTTAACCGCAGAAGAACCTTAAAGTATAGGCTAGTTAACGATGGCGGCCAAATATGTCTGTTCATCCTCATATGGAAGCATTAGTAAGTCAAACTGGGTGGTTTTGAGAAAGTCTTGCAGAATTCGAAAAATTTTCTCTTCTCTCTCGTTAGCCTTCCTTACATGGCATACAGCGCTTTTGATAGCCATAAACTCGTTTAATTCAACGAAATTTAATGTGTTCAAAACTGTTGATTTTATACAAAGTTATAAAATTCAAATGAAAAAAATCGCAAATCGGACAGAACTTTCGAAACAACCTAGTATTTCAATCACTAAAAACCCCCATTTTTTACAGTACAACTACTACCGCAAGCTATAAAAAGACCCCACAATTCAAAATGGGTGTAATTTCTGTAATCAGCTGATGACATCTATGATTTGTGGATTACTTACTAAATTTTTCTGTGATTTCCAGCATCTGAGCGTCACTTGAAAACATGATTAAGTTAATTCCAAAGATGAAGACAGTCAGCCTTTTCATATTCGTAGCAAAGCCATGACTTTTACCAAACTATGCTAACAATAAAAATTTTGTCTTATACCGTTCGTGATTAGTGAATTCGGAAGTGTTTCCAAAACTCCAACCATCGCGTCTTTCATGAAGAGTTCTTTCACTCAACGGATACAAGCTCAAACACCTGGTATGTAATCTAGATGGTTTGTACTAACAAACGACTCACAACTGGGTTAAAAAAATTTTTTTTTTCTTGAGAGTATTAATCTTTTCAGAGCTACTTCTCAAAAGGCCAGGTTGTCTGAGCTTTTGTTGCTTCTGTCTGACCCAATTAATTTACCTTAACACATTGATTTCCGCTTGAGCAATGAATCCGCGTGGGACCTTGACACACCATGTGTGTCAATGCTTAAATTTTGTGAAAATGGCTATTATCCTGGGATAAACTCACTCCACGAGCTCTCTTTTGCATTGAAGCAAGGATAACTTCCACCTTTTTTTGTCAGCCTTTCAGATCTATTATAGGTGTACCGTAGATGGCAGTATGCATAATTATATTTGAATGGTCCGTAAGAGGCCTTGGCCCAGAAGGCAGACAACTGAATATCTGCATGGTCGTTAATGTGTTGAATGAGTTTACGGAGATGTCAAGTAGGCATGCAAAACGGGGGGGGGGGAGGTCGTGTTTAGAAGAGATGTGCCAGTACTGCGACTGATATGGCGTTAGCCAGCGCTTCCCGTTAGCTCTTTTGACTTGTTACCGCAGTGCTTTCCACAATAGTCGGTAATAAGTCAGATCATAAGAAGTAAGCAATCTGCTTGAAGGCAGTGTTCGGACAAGGTGGGAGTTTTGAGATTTCAGTGTCATGCGAAAGTGGCCCCTCGGACCCTCATCGCGCAAGTACGAGGTTATAACATTCGGCCTAGAGCAAAAACGACCGGAAAGTAGGGAAACTTACGTTTTGGGGCGGGATCCTCCACCTGTTTGCCCTACTCTGCGGCAGAGTACGCATGCCGCAGTGAAAATCGTGGAATCGCAGCGATCCTGCGTCTCAGCCTTGGCGGAAACCGTCGAATTTCAAATTATATCGTGGGTCGCGATGCAATTGAATAATATCCTGCATGAGAGTTGCGCACGATGACCCCTTAAAGGCAGTGTCTCACCAAAATTTAGTTGCCGAGATTTTTGTATTTTGCAAGCCTGTCGGACCCTGTCTAGCACTGTATGGGCTTAAAATCGCACGAAGTCCCCAAAAACCCCGTTTTCTGGAGGCCCCACGGAAGCAACTGGACGAGTTGTACCATCCAACTTCAGCCTCAGCCACAATGGCAGCAACAGGGGGAGGTGGATGCCAAGTGCAGGGACATGTTCAAACGCGTAAAGGGGGAGACCGAAAGAGTCGTCCGCGGGAAACGGCCCTTTTGAACCGCTCGCTATCACAGCGCGCCTCTGATTGGTCAACATGTCCACTGCCATAACGAGTTAAAACTCGTTCATTTTCGTACATCTTTCGTGTCCAACATGATGATAGGTTTGGCACAGGTATATTACATACTTCCAACTAAGAATTTTTTCGTTGACTGTAAATGCGACTTGTTAGCTTTGCCAGCGGCGCCGCACGCAGCGAGACAAGCGTCGCGCGCGAAGGGTTCAAAAGGGCCTACACCCGTTGTCCGCGAGTACCACATCGCTCTCCGCGTACCACTTTGAGCGAATTTTTTTTAGCGTGGAGGGGGTGAAATTGAGTGGGACTTGTTGCAATGACCTATTTAGAGGTCCCAATGATAGATTATGTGAAGTTCCGCGCGACCTCAACTTTGGTGAGACACTGTCTTTAATACTAGCTGAGACGTTCGTTTCGCGAATTGCATTTCAATCAACCAAAGTTTTCAAGCTTGCTAAATAAAAAAGCTAGTTGCGGAATTCCAAGGAATGAATCTACGATGTCAGATCCGATATTTCACTAGACAAAAAGATTTCGGACTACAGACAAAAACAATTGGAGCTGCAGAAGGAATGATGTGCCAGCAAGCGAATCTCTGTATATACTTAGTCATTCTTACTCATGCATTTTCCATCACTTACACTCATTGCTTGTGTTGCCTTTCTATCCGCTCATTCCATGTACGTAGTAGCACATAAAAAGCCCTTTGTATGCTTTCTAATTTCCTCTTGTACATTTTTTACAAGTAGTCCAAATTCTACAAGATATCTGAGATATCCTTTTGGTTTGACATATCGTCATCGTAGTTCCAACTATTTGTTGGCGACTTCGTCACTTTTTCATGTTGATTTGCTTCGTTGTTTATGTGTGTTTATAACTCAAGCAGAATGAGGTTTTAATTAGCCAAGTCTGGGGTAATCGGCAATAAACGTGTGTTCGTGTGGTGGTTGATGTGGTTCAATTGGCAAGGTTGTGGCAACCTTTTTAGGGCCTTGGCGGAAATTCGAAATAAGTCGCATATTTTTCCATGTCCGATTGTCACTGAATCTCGGCATCGCGTATAACTTTGAGCTTGTTTTTTGAGCCTTGAACCAAGATTGACAATAACTTTTTAATATTTTGGGCTAACGTTAACGCATATTTTTCCCGTTTCAGATTCGAAGTTGCGGATAACCCCCGCTAAGCGGAATTCCTAAAAATCGAGTTCTTCCCGGACACTGCCTTTAAGCATCTGGACTCATTACTAACTCTAAATTTGCTAAAGAAAATTTTCTTTCATAAGCAAATCAAGGTGTTCCTCTTTCCAAGTGAACTTCCTTTCGTAGACTATTGAGCGGTCAACGAAATTCTTTCTTGTGCAGACCATTGCCAAATCCCTAAGGTACGAAATTATATTGCCACGAAAGTAATCACATACCTCAATAAGAAACCAACAATAATCAGCCACATATCCTGTCATTATGTATCGTTTACCAATGATAATGTTGTTATCACCTATACTACTGGTCAACTACAGCTTGCAGACTTCGTTTATGAACAGACGATTGAAAAGCAGAGCAAAGGGAACTAATAAGATTTCCATGGCAACAACAAGGATCACAAGGTACGACATCGAAAACAATCATTGTCTACTTCATCATGTTACGAAAACAGTCGCCCAGTAAGTTCTTCTTGAAACCTATAGTGAAGTTAGTTAGCTAGGCCAAAGCTGCTGAAGTACTTTATTCAACGAAGTCTTTCTAAAAACAGGCTTGTAAATTTATTTCGCACCTGCACGTGTATGTACTATAAATTTCAGGCAAAAAAGATGAGAAAGCGACGAAGGAGATGACAAAAGTTGACGACAAGAAAAGGAAGCCGAGTCTAGTCGCAGACCGAACAAAGAGCGACAAAGCAGATATCGAATCTACGAAAAAGGACAGCCCAACTAAGGAAGCGCGAGATCGTCAAGTAGAGAAGGAGAAGCCCAAAAAGACGAACTCGACTGAGGAGCCTGCGAAAATCAAAAAAGCAGAGGAGAAACCTATTCCTATTGAAGTTGTAGTAAAGCAAGCGGAATTGGGAAAGATAGATCCGTTTGAGGATCGACCAAAGATCCCGAGAACTAAAGACGAGTCAAGGAGGGACTCGCTGACAAAGGACAAGAACAAAGATCCCATGGTCGGCAAAAGCGAGAAAATTTCTGTAGAAAAAGCCAATGAAAATAGTTCGTCAAAAGCAGCTGGAAAGGCTGACGCGAATTCTGTGAGGCGAAAAACCTTGGAAAAAGTTAGCGGAATACCTCCGACTCAAAAAGGAGCAATGGACAAGAGCAGCCCGCTCGAGAAGAAACAATTCAGTGCATTTGCTGAGGAAAGGAAAGCGAAAATGCGAGGGGACAAACCGGCTGAGGGGTCACCTCAGAGAAAAGGCTATGGACATGTGGGAAAAAAGCAAAAGCATGATTCTTTTTCGGACGAGGATAAGGGCGGTGCTAGCGAAAAACCTCAGCCCAGTGAGTTTTTTTGGAACTGATTCGAAAATATTACAGTTTCTCTCTTTATTATTCTGAGTGCTGATTGTGAAATTACAAAAAATGATATTGCATAGCTTACTTTTTTCCGTTTTAGGATCAGATGCCCAGCGAAATGCTAAGCGAGACCAAAGCCCAGAAGCAAACCTTACAGCTCATGTCGAAGTGATTCGCGAGAGAAGAAGTCAGTTTCTATGCAATTTTGATCCATATTATGATTATAAGACTTGCCCTCTAAGTTGATTTCCCATCTGTGAGAGTCAGCAATCAAACATCACTTTCCCACGAGAGTCAGCGTATTGATACTTACCCTAATTAGGTAACTTTTCTTTAATCAGCAGCTTTGCAGTGTCGCTTCCGCGAACAATCACCACGGATCCGGCTGCAGATGTGGAAATCGTGATCGGTGACGGTGAGTAATTTTCAAAATAACAATTTCAAAATATAGGTTATATATAGGAGCCGCAGAGAGGCCGGATGATGACTAGTTGTATTACTGAGTATTGGTGCCTTCGTTAGAATGTTTTACGAAGTTTCTTGGCAAAAAAACATGAACAAAATTCTGGTTCTTAATTTTACTCAGAAATGTTTGTTGATTCCTAGGTTAAGTATTCTTATATACTTAAGAAAAGAAATGGAAAGAAGTAGGACATGTAAACGATCTTTTTACTTGAAAAATGGAAGGATGAAGCAATCAAATACATTTCTTGGAAACTTGAAAAAGTTTTTGTCACTCGAAATAGTGTTGGAAAGAAATTTAAGAAACGACCTTTTAAAATTTTTTGAATGAGTGCTTTTTTCAAGCTGCTCACCGGCAGGGTAAAGTCATGGATACTTCTCGAGAAAATTGTTTTCGCTTATTTCCAATTCCTTTCTCAACCGCGTGAATGCACGTCTTGTGACTCTCACTTTCAAAAAGCTACAAGCCTTATTGTTGCAAAAAACAAAAGAAGTCTTTGTTCAACACCTGCATCTACAGTCTAATGCACCTGTGTTTCTTTATCAGAAACTGTCGCAATTATATACTGAGTCAAAAGAGTACGTTGTTTTTTCCCATACCCTTTGTACTTTCTTCAGAAAAACACAGAAGTGCTTGTAAAAAGCGTGTTCAATAGTAATGGCATCAAGCTTATAGAACGGATGCGTTTATGTACCTATCACTAGCAACGCTCCCCAAAACTTCATTTTCATTAGCTTGTTCAAAGGCCCAAATGAACATCCCCTAAACTTTTCTCTTTTTCTATTCGATCTCCTGATATTCTCCAGAAGAACAGAATTTTGTGCTCTGGTGTGATATCCACTTATCACTCCTAAGAACATGTTTGTCTTATAGGAACCATACTTCAACATAAAAAAAAGTAGTGCGCAAAAACGTAACCTCAACTCTCTAACGTTTTTCGTGCACTATGCGAATGAAACTCAATTTCTTATTTACTGCACGCAGAAGCTTATCCAACAGCGTAAATTTTCTTCTTTCCCATCTTCTGTATGTCAGCACTTTGACTACAAACAAAGAAGGCTTTTAGGTGCTCTATATCTTGAATTACACTCCTCCGATGGTTATCTGGATTTATGCCTAGCAAGCAGAAAACAAAGTTTGTAAACCAGAAAGGATTAGTGGCCTAAATCCCCCATGCAGTTTCCATTCTATTGTAAGCTATACTTGGTGGTTGACGCAGGGCTTTTAGTATGCGTGAATTTTTTCGTAACCACCAATCGAGAAACTTATTTGCTAACAACTTGATACGCTCTCTGAAGTTTGGGTGTTCTTCCTGACCGCTGCTCAACTGGAAGATATTCTCAAAGATTACAGCATTCGTAGGAAAAGAAGTCTACCAGATTTTATGTAACTTTTGATTCAAATGGCTTGGCAGCTGGAAGGCGGTGTTTGTGACCTAATTAAGGCCGCTCGCGCCAGTGACGCAGTCCGCATCTCCCTCTCGCAATGCTCTCTGATAAATATTTAGCCTTAACTAGGTCATGAAGCCCCGCCATCCAGCCGCCAAGCCAGTTGAATTAAAGGATAAAAGATCTAGAGCGCTATAAACCTAACTATGAAGTTCGCAACCACTGACACGCGCTTTGTGATATTCAAAGTCTATGAGTTTTTGCTTCGCAAGAAATCTAACGTCCCGTTTGCAAAGACAGAAAGAAGCACTGATATCCTTGTCCATAATTTCATTTACATGTTTCAGATGGAAAACCCGTGTTTCAACCAACGATGACACCAAAAGCCGACGAAATCTTGCGTGAGCTCACAAAACTCGTCGTGGAAGATGAAACTGGCAAAGGGCGAGTGCCCAAGCTTATACCCTCGTAAATTACCTCATCTAAATTCTAAACAGTATTTGACTATTTGTAAATTGAGCATCTCTTGTTGTATCAATAAACTTTATCGAAATGCGACAAATATGAGACCCGTGATATGTCTTTGGACACAACGAAGAAAACGAATGCACATTGGAGATCACAGCAAGGGCAGAGAGCAAACAGAGTAGAATCCTTGAGCGGTCGGCTAAGCAACCTCGAGTCGGCTTCCTAATTTCAATTTGACTTCTTTACTCAATTGGGCTCAGCTGGATGTTGGAGCCGAAGGGGGCTCCGAAACTGGTCGAGGTATGGCTCTTTTTGGGCGCCGCGGCAATGATTTGTTCATCATCGGGTCGGCGGGGAAAACTGCATAGCCCTTGCGTGCTCTGAAATAAGCAATTTGAGCTATGAGTAACAGAAAACTTAGGAAATTATTGTTTACGTCAAAGAGAAGTCATAATAAGGTGTTGGGTGATGTCTTTTGAACGTGCGGCTTCGAAGTGGCATAAACTCTTTCACTAAAGATCAAAAAGCAAATCTCAAGCATTATGACTTCTTGTAGTAGATCAATTCGCCAAAACCTCGCATTTGTAACTCCAACTGTATGTAAGATTATGGGACTTGTTGTACAGTAATGCTTTTATAGAGCTCTCTCAAACTTAATGAAAGCTTACAATGCAATAGAGCCCTGCTGTGTGTAAAGTGCTCAAGAGGAGTCCAATGACGTGCAGCAAAAAATTTTGTTTGCAAATTTTAAATAGTTGGAAGGAGCTCTCCGAAGCTTTCGCCGATACACAAAAAGTGCTATTCTCTCTTCCACTGAAACTACAACTTTGAAAGTAAGGCCCAAATTTCAAGAAGCGTACATAATTATTAGAGTGTTGATTTTTTACCGTTTTTACTATAACAGTCGTGTCTTTGTATTTTTTTCTCAATTCATGTGGTTTGCGTAATCATTCGACAGACCGAAGCGAGCTCTACAAGATGGGTATGAGGAATCCGTTCAAATCGTATTTCACCGGAATTTTTGAGCAGAAATTGATAGCAGTCGAAAATGAACTTTTCCTTCAAAAATCATATCTCCGCCCCAAGATGTCTTAAATGTTCCCCATTTATCCTAGCGTATGCTTGACATATCGCACATTCATATTCACTAATGTTTTTTCATAGCTGAAAATAAAGAAAAAAATGAAGGGAAAAATGGCACACTCCGCCCCTAAGCATCCTGAGCTCCTCCCAAGCACGTGATCTATAGCTCATACATGCAGAAGTACGACATTATTTGTAAACTTTCAAGGTGTCCCAGTTCTCGAGAAATGCTGAGGTTTAGGGAAAAAACGGTGAAAAATTATGGGACAGCCCAATATTGGATTTTAGGGTATTTTGTTATGCGTGTTTCTCAAGATTTGCTTGATTTTTTGTTCCTCCTCTCTTTCAAGTTTCAAGTACTCGTCACAACTTCGAGTCGGTCTTTGTGAATGCATAACAAATAATTCAAACAGAAGCCTGAACCGGTAAAGCCACAAATCATGTAAGAGAGCACTCTCTAGGCATACAGCTATAGCCATATTTTGCGAATATGCGCTTTTGTCAAGAACCTGTCATGTCTTTTTGATATATCCCTTTTAGTTGCTTATTTACAGCGAATGAGTTCAATGGCCGGATCAAGCAGCTTATGCTCATATAGTACAGCATGTCGTGTGGAGGAAAATAGGTTAGAGAAAAGCCTACTGTAACACTCCTCTACCCCAAAATCTCAAAAATTCCTTACCTTATGTCCGAAGGCATGCGTGGAGGTGATGATTTTGGCAAGGAAGGTACTCGTGCGAGAGATAGAGATTTTTGAACTGGGCGTGGACTAGCCTCACCAAGAAGCGTAGGAATTTGCGAAGTGGGTAACCGAGGTTTGGCTGCTATTCTGGGAGGAGTTCTTGCTGCGGGTTTTGGCAACTGGGTTCCTTTCGCTGAGCGGGATTCGAAACCTGAAACAGACACGCTTTTGGGTGAGTGCTTAGTTAGCCATTCAGAGCTCAAATACCATTAACGATGTTCCGCACGCAGCTGATGTGCTCAACTTCAGTCGTCTCCTTTCTTTCGCTCTCCCTTCCATCTTTGTCATCTTCTCTGCTTGAATCATCCGATTCCGATGAGTGTGACTCTCTTCCACTGTCTACAGACTTGTCACTTTTAGGTGAGTCTTGCTGCTGATTGTCCACATGCTGCGTCGTTTGCTCTGGCTCAATCTCCTGGACCACGGAAATTCGATTCTTAAGGTGTTGGGCATTGGGAAACGAACACACATGAGAAGCTGGTCCTTACCTCTTCGTGATCTTCGGGAATGGTGATCAGCATGGGTACAAATCGGCGCATTCGGATTCTCTCTCTAGCTACGTCTATGACCCGGCGGAGGTCGGCGAGGAACTGTTCAGCTACGGGAGGAGGGTTAGCCATCATCGACTCGTCGAGATATTCTGTAACAGCTTTGTTTGTTCATATGATGTTTTTGGAGGTCGCAGAATTATTTTTGGGGGTAGTGTGACAATATTATTTTGATTTAAGGGGAGTGGAGTGGAACATACCCTCGCGGGTTTTTGTGAAGCTTTTCTATGGAACAAATTATTGACTTTGATAATTTGCAAAAAATAGGAATGAAGTTAGCCATTAGTCTTCTCTCCTTTCCCAGATCCGTCTACTCCCTGACTAATTACGTCTTTTACTTACCCGAGCTAAAATACAGTCTCCTTTTCGGTATTCGATCCAGAGAGGTTTTGAATTCACAAGGACCCATTTCGTTTGCTGTGGCCTGAGCCAAAGCCGCCTGAATATAACCATTTTCGTCAAACGACAAAAATATGAGACTATTTTACCTTTTGTAGCTCTTGTTGTTTTTGCAAATGATAAAGAAACTGCATCTGAATGTCCGAGATCAGCTGACGCTTCTTGATCCGCCAGCACAGGTGCCAGACGACGAATGAGCCAATGATAGTAAGTGCCAGCAGAAATGCCAGCACCAAGATAAATAGTAATTCCGCCCTAGTGTTTGACGAAGTCAGCATGTATGGATTCGCTCCTGGAGAAAGAAATTTTTATAGCGAAAATCTGAAAATCGGTCGAGACATACCCGATATTCCACTAACACGGAAAGAGAGGCAATGCTCGTCGGGAGCAAACCCGGCGCATGATAATTTCAGTTGAACAACAGCTCCAGTCAGGACAGCCACATCTGCTTCGGAGCCCCGAAACTACAAGAATGGGGTGATTACTGTGTTACCCGAGCAGAATGATCATAGTTGATGAACAAACTTCTAGAGTTCTGAAGTATCCCCATCAACACTTCATGAAATGATAGGGTTTTCCGAGATAATATAATTATAGCAGCGAATTCCCACATATAGACATTATTTATTTATTTAATTATTTATTCATGCACTCACAAGTGCGCCAAAAATGTAAATAAAAAATGAGAAGTACACTGTTGCTGGCTTAGCTGGTTTCCGCAGAAAAAAAGAGAAAAGGACATATCTCTTGCATAGGTGGTCAGGTCATGACATTAAGCATATTCCATCAAATAAAGCTTGCCGTTTTTCTCATTTTTTTTTCAAAGTTCAATATATTTCACACCTAATGAGTTACTAAATAGAGCATTTGGGTCCGTCGAAAGACACACGTTTCGGCAAATTCGTACACTCGGAGATGGTATTACAAATATGAATTTCATTTCAGCGCTCTCTGTTGATAGATTGCAATTGGCGAAATTGCCAATTCCGAAAACGAGGAGAAGCCTCTATTGAGCCAGAAATAAAAGCATTGCTTTTTTTATTTTTTGACAGCAAAGATGAATTGCAGAGGGAAAATAGCATTTTGAGTGACAAAAGTCATTCCGAATACAACCACCATATAGACGCTATGTTGAACCAACCTACATTTGTTTGAAGGATACGCACTGCAATTGAAATAGTTGAGAAGTTTGTTCTAAGATTGAAAACCTCAAACTGAAAAAAATGTACTTTTTCATTACTACCATCGAGATAAATGTTGTTATTTATTACACCATTGAAAATTCCATTTAGATGAAGATAAGGAAGGTCTAAATAATCCGATATGGATATCTTCCAAATAAGAAACGTAGGTCATAAGGCCAGAAACTAAAATTGAATTCAAATGACATTTCAACATTTCAAGATCCAAAATTGAAGCTTTTTTTGAGTGTTCTTTCGAACACGTATTGCTGTCGCGTGCCAAGAAAGAATTTTGACAAGCACTTTAAGAAGTGAAAGATTTCTTTTTCTTATCTATCAAATAACAGATAAAAACCGGAGAAAACGCGGGTTTCAGAGTAGAAATGCGCTCTCTCCATTTCGATCGTGCTTCTTGGTTCAAATGTCAAACAAGTGTCCTTTGCACTTTTGTTTATTTTTCAGCGAAATAACGCAGCATGTACTTCTTGCTTGGACGACGTTGTGATCAGGTCAGCCAAAAGCATCATACTCTAGCCAAAAAGACTTTTTTATTTTGATATTTTCAGAGTTTACGTTAAAATCATATCATTACAGTACAATGCTGAGTGTGTAAGTAGCAATTTTTTTGTGCTCCAAGGCGACATAAAAAATCACTATACTCGGACATGAAATATTAGGTTGTTACATAAGTCTTGTTACACTTAACTTCTAACGGCGATAAGTCATACACCTCATAGTCTTTGCAGGACTCCAAGGTACCATTCGATAGAGCAAAGCAAGCTCTACAAAATGGCCTGCAAAAGTTCGCACCAGCTCCGACCCACCGTAAGTTTGCACCCAAAATCTGAGTCGTACTGAAATTCAAAAAATCGCGAAAAATTCATATCTTTGTTCAAACAAATCCTACGGATCTCTAACTTGCTCAAAAAAATTGCACACTATATCAAACACTCATTTGTACCGTTGCTGTATTTTTTCTATATCTAGAAATCGAGAAAAAGAATTTTTTTTGATTTTTACAAAAACGAAGCTATGCTGTTTCTATTCATGTAGCTGTATACTACAAGCTCTTAGAAGTATGCCCGTAAATTTTCAGCTTCCCAGAAGCCCTAGTTTTCGAGAAATATCAAATTTAGCTTCAATCACTCGGGTGTTCAATGCTAAATTAGGTATTTCTCGCAAACTAGGGCTTCTGGGAAGCTGAAAATTTACGGGCATACTTCTAAGAGCTTGTAGTATACAGCTACATGAATAGAAACAGCATAGCTTCGTTTTTGTAAAAATTAAAAAAAATTCTTTTTCTCGATTTCTAGATATAGAAAAAATACAGCAACGGTACAAATGAGTGTTTGATATAGTGTGCAATTTTTTTGAGCAAGTTGGAGATCCGTAGGATTTGTTTGAACAAAGATATGAATTTTTCGCGATTTTTTGAATTTCAGTACGACTCAGATTTTGGGTGCAAACTTACGGTGGGTCGGAGCTGGTGCGAACTTTTGCAGACCATTTTGTAGAGCTTGCTTTGCTCTATCGAATGGTACCTTGGAGTCCTGCAAAGACTATGAGGTGTATGACTTATCGCCGTTAGAAGTTAAGTGGTGTAACAAGACTTATGTAACAACCTAATAAATGAATTCAAATTTAATTAGATGCAGAGCTCGGCACAGGTGGCTTGTAAGCAAGCTGGATATCGTTTTTGGGACAGAAACCAAAACAAATATCGTTTTTGAGAAGGAAAAGACACAATGATGTTTGTTTATTCGACGTTTCGTGTTTTGTGGGTTTTTTACGTTTAAGGTTTATAGTCAAAGGGAACTTTGTAAAAATTCGCGAAAGTCAAGGGGGACTTATTCTCCAACACTTCGTGCCGAACCCTGATTAGATGAAAGAGACAAAATACTATAAATGATAAATCTTATTTTTTACATTGCTTGAACTGAATCTCCTCCTCACTTCTGTACAAACCAGCGCAATGTGTATCCTTCCAAGTTTTGTTTTAGCTGTTCTTGCTTCCCAAACTCCATAGCATTGATGAGTGGGTCAATGCGACGATCAGATGGTTTTTTCATGGCCTACGATGGCGATTTTTTATGTGCGCAATGGCATGCGAAGCATCTCCACCTCAACCCACATGACTGATACGCAGTGCGAAAAGAATGCGGCTGTGAATCCCGTCGTATTCGATGTCCGATCGCAGGAAAAAAAGCGTGCTTTGTAACAGTGTTGTTTCCTTATATTGAACTTCCAAGCCAGAAGAAAAGAACAACCTTGAGAATGTTCCATGGAAAACAGATGTAGTGGCACCATCGAAAATTTTTTAGTTGCATCTGATGGCTAGCCACGGATTGAAAACTGTGGCCTAGTATTAGGTTGATGGATAATTTCTGTCACACTTTTCTATTTATTCTGAGAAATTGAAGAAGCGTCTTGACATTATTTGCGTCATGCCTAGGATATAGCAAGGTCTACTATAAGCATGACTAATGCCTCTTACAGAAGTGGACAACAAATTTACGTCAGATTTTCAATTGAATTTTTATTTTTTCTCATTTTTTCTGTGCTTCTGTGCTTTTTCGCTTTTGTTATTTTTCAGAAAGTATCTCGATATTGTCTCTCCTTCAAAACGAGAATAAAAAATATCAAAAGAACTTAGGAAGTATTAAAAATTTACCTACCATCACGACAGACCGATTTCGTGCTACAGCTATGTCAAAAAGCGTTCGTCTAGTGGTTGCTCTCCATCGGTGGTCCATATTGTCGTAGAATGCAGCGGTTATTGTGCAGTCGACAGTTCCAAGCTGTGACACGGCTATACCGGCGTCTGGAAAAAATCAAATCTTTGTTGTAGCTATTGCTTTACTGCAAAGCTGTTTGTAGCCAGGCAACATCCAGCCCCAAATCACTAACTTTCTTTATATACGCTCAAAGAAATACTTAAATGGTGATAGGCCTTGTTGTTCAAAAGAAATTGCTTATATCTCTACTAGTCCGCGTTTGCAAGGTTTTCTATTCAATCGAACTAATGTTATGACCCAAATAATTTGTTCTGTCATTAAGAAAATGTGAATCATAACTTTTATTATAAAGTATTTTATGAATAAGTCCAGAAAAGTAGGTGGATACTGTCGACGTTTCTCCTTGTCTTCAAATCCCCCGTTGCTTCCATCCCAAGCGATTCAAATGCCCTGATTATGTAAGTCTTTTCATGCATGGACTGAAAAGGAAATCTATTCAGAATTAATCAGTAAATTCTTTTTCACCTGCCATAAAGTTAACTCTGAGGCAATTGCTAATAGTGTAAGGCAAGATTTCAGCATTAATTTGGTACCGAGGACTTCAAGAATGAGAACATTCTTTATTTTTTAGAAAACTGAACTCATTGAATATCTCGGCCCCAGACTTGTATTAAGTTTATGATTTGTTATAGTGCATTGAGTCTATTCTATTCCCATCTGCACCAGATTTGAAACAAATGAAAGCTTGGGACCAATCTTGATAAAAAAATTCATGGCAGATAGAATAATTTCTCTAGGTACATTTCATCTTCAATTAACTACATACGACCCATGGATTTTGCCATGGTCAAGTTTCGCTATTTTTTCCTAACATTATGACGACCCTCCGATAAAGTCCGAGTAACCGATAATACCCCAATAAAGGATAGAAAACCTTATTTTTGCCTTTTCATGATTCGCCATGATTGTTTGAGGAAATTTATTGAAGCCACCGAATTTCAGCAGGCTTACCTCAAGCACGTATTTAACAGGGTCAAATCTTCTAAATTTACAGCTCTTAAAAATGAAGTATGAAGGCACTAATTTACAAAGTAAATGATCGTTTACGATTTGAAATATCAAACACGAGAATCTAACTCCAAGCAAACTTGCACTGTCCTCAATCTTTGTTCTAACACAATCAACGACAAGGCCGATTTTTCGATTACTGCCATTTCGGATCAGAGTCTTTTTCACTTTTCAAACTTACGACCCACCGGTGGGTCGTATTGTCCGAAATGGCAGAACACGTACGACCCACCGGTGGGTCGTATTGTTGTGAATGTCTTATTCATCGCATGCAAAAGTGATGCTCGTGATGTGATGTTGGCCTGCTACACCCTTCTTTGAGTGCCGTAGAAACTGTTGAAATCATTCCGATGCATCTAGAGATAGCGCTTAGACTACTGTCGCTGTTGACTCATTGCCCATGTTTTGAGTTGAGTTATCCTTGACGAACTTTCACAATTGAATCGCGCACCAATCGCATACAAATCGCTTGCGATCTGTTATGTCCACCATTGTGGATGCAGCCATATCCGATGTCCCATTTTCTGAGATCCACAGACTAGGGAATCCTCTAAGATTCCCGCAAATCGCAATCTCTCACCTTCCCATCTAATCGCAACTTTCGGATGGAGAACACCGTTCTTTGCTGGTAGCGAGACAACAGGGATCAGCCGTTCGGTTTCGATCGACGAGTTGAACGCAATGTTGTGCCGACATTCGTCTGGAACAATAGATGAACTTTGCTAAGCGAAACGGTATCATGATAAAAGCAAGAAAAAAAAGGAAAAAAGAGGACAGAGTTCTGCGCAAGAAAATTTCTCGGATTCTTTTGCGCTCTTTGTAAAAGAAAGAGTGAGAACATCCTAATGCTTGCTGTTCCTAACAGTGAAAAATGCAAAGACTTCATCAAAGCAAGAATTATTGAAGAAAGAAATCTTTTCGATTTGGATCAGTGCAACTATTCGAAGCGCCATAATTTCGGGTCAAGGAAATTCCCTAATCTTGGAATCAGGTGTAGACTGAACTTTTGTGTACGACTTTTTATGGAGAGAAACGCAAGAAAATGCAGAGCATGGCATCAGGCAAATTTCTTTTCTATCTGTAACTGAACAATAACTCGTGACAAAAAATTCTGGGGTTCCAGCTATTGGATGATATTCACCATAGAAAAATGAACTTGAGGTTCGAGGAATCGACATCTTTCTCATTTTTACAGTACAATACTGAAGGAAAGGGACAAAACAAAGCAAATTAACCGGCCAGAGGTGATTTCCTTAGCAATCTCCTGCCCATTCGAAGACGACATAGTCACTAATTCGTTACGAATTCCCTAGCATAACCCATTTAGCGGAACGCTCCCTATCCAGTTTTTTAAAGATGCAGGATCGAGATTTGATTGACATCTTTGTTGATTATTCGGAAAAACTTGAACGAATTGTTGTGGGTGTGTCTGGTAAAATCGAACCATTGTGACAGCTAATATCAATGGTAATGTCAATTACAAGGTTGACTGATGATCGAATTACCATAAGTCTTGAAAACCAAAACTTTCTATGTCATACCCAAAAAAATTTTTAAGGAGCAAAGACAGATCGAGGCTAAGTGCAAGCAGTGTTAGCGAATGTGTCTAATATTTGAACAAAAAAAATTTGCGTATAGATGTGCATAAAAATCTTCAACCACTCCCAAATTCATTTACGCACTTTGTGTTCTCTTAATGAAATTTGTCGAAGTTCTTGCTAATCGGACGATAAATCTCAGAAATCTATGTCATGTGCTGTAAACAAGCATGGCGGCCATAATTTATCCTTCAGAATCTAACAGCATCACAGTTTGCAGCGCAATGAGACGTGAACTTCTTCTCAGTTACATAGCGATTTTGTCATCAACGCAGTAAAACCAGCTTTATGAGCTACTCGTCTAGAAAATGCTGAAAATTTTCTGAATTCGCGTTGAAGAACCATCTTAATAGCTAATGGAACAAGCCCATCAAAATACTAAAGAACTAAAAATGAGTTTCAACTTCCTTTTACCAAACAGGTTGCCAAATTTTATCGCATCTATTATGTAGTTACTAATTATTGTTCTAGACTGCAATTTGCAGAATTAAACGTAATGTGGGTGCAAAAGACTGGCATGCTACAGTTGTTTTAGAGCTTTCATGCATTTTCTAGATCACTAAAGATGGAAAAACGAAAATCTCTATAGGATAAGAGAAGATAACAAGAAGCTATATTTTCAACGTTCATTTCCAACATCTATGTTTTTTTTGCTTTTCCTTTTAAAAATATAGCGGTCTCATTCATTGCTGACTTCGCCACTTCAAAATCTTGAGGATCCTCGCGCATAGATAAAAATGCGACAAACATTGTCTTTAATATCCCAAAGAGATTCTCAAAGCAAATGGACATAGAGCGCATTGTTTCTCGGCGTTAGGTTTTCCAAACAAAAGTTTCGAGAGTAGAATAAATGCTGAACTGACACATGCAATAGCTACATGAAGTTTATTGAGCGAAAAGAAGTGGAACAAGAAAGTTTGGATATGCTCTTTTCAACGGCCCGATAGCATGAGCACAACTTTATTCTATTGAAATTACTATCAAAAAGGGACTATCACTCATTTAATGCAAATAGAAGATCATCGCTAGAATGATCACAAACAAAATTGTGGAAAATGATATGGTGCCAAAAAATCCCTTTCCGATCAAAACTGGATTGGTTTTTATTGTTAAACCGTGGACAACTATAATGCGTATCATGAGAGGCAATCCGCACAAGTTTTTGCTCAAACATCTCTTTGGAAACGATTCCGTTTCGAATCGAGGTTGTAATAGATATCAAAATGAGGCCACCGAATTCTCAGCCGAGTTCTTCGAGTTTTACACTCGGTTTAACGTCTTGGTTAGAGGTTTGACAAGAAGTATCGTAGAAAAACAGTATTTGAGTTGTTAGCGTAGACGTTTGCTGTTTTTTTTGAAGTGTGTTGGCGAAAGAAATCACAAAGGAATTGTTAGTTTATGACGAAAGTTTTGCACCAAAATTTTTCAAAAACTTTTTTGAAGATTTGTGAGTCTCTCAGTTCAATAAATCTTCTCTGTACAATAAAAATAAGGGTACAAATTCTACGCTTATGAGAGTGCTGAAGGCAATGATTATCTGTATACAAGGCTATAGAAGGTGTTAAGGATAATTACTCAAATTGCCCCTATTTACTTTGATTCATTTTGTTCTTATTTTGTCGCTAAAACACCTAAAATCCAACAACTATTTTTTATTTTAATACGAATCTTATATTTACTAGGCTAACATGAATTAGCTGTGATGGATATCTATATAGAAAAGTTGTACTTTCAAGTTTCTTTTTTTCAAAAATCTATTTTGCTCGGAATATATTTTTGATAGATGATAAAAAACTGCATACATTATGTACTGCGAAAGTGTATCATAGAGGAAAAGTTAAAAGCATTTTTTAATAATTTCCCTTTCTGGTCAAGACTTCAGCTTCAATATAGTAAAATAATCACTTCGATTTATAACAAGAAAATGTATATCGAAAATTTTGAAGTAGAGGAAATAAAAAACTCGAAGCAAGCTCTAGTGATTTACTAACTGCAGAGAACGAATGAGTGAAGAAGCACTTGGTTTCTGAGCTAAACTTGGAACGTTGTTGAGTCCGGTCAAGGAATAAATTTTTTGCATGGAAAAGCTTCATGGAAATGGCCTCAAAACAGGAGCGACTAATCTGAAATCATCATAGAAATTACCAAAGTTTTTCTGGTGTCCTATTGCCTTGTCATCAGCTTTGAAATGGGAGATGTTTGAGAGGAGCAGCTAAGCAATTCATAGCCTGGCTCCCGGTATACCTCACGCAATTTGAAGCGCGACGTGGTTTGCCATCACTCCATCTTTTTATTTTATTATTATCTTTTATCTTATCTTATTATTATCTTTTATTTTATCTTTATCTTTTTATTTTTTATTTTATTTTTAACTTATCGCAAGAACTTTTTGAATGAACAGAAGATGGGCATTTTGTGGATTCGCGAAAGCTGTACATACTGTGAATTTGTAGTCAACAGGTTTTGAATTTGAGAGATCTGGCAGATTGCCAAATCGCGTGGCGATTGAAAATCACGTAAGGTATGCCCGAGGCTTCAGAAATAAATCGAAAAAGTACCTACCTAGACGATCCACACAGTAACCGGCAGTGTTCAGATACACTGGAGCAGTGGAAGGACATACACAGCTGCACCGGTTGTTGAGCGAAGTATTGGGTTCGGTTTCTTCGGCGTGAAAAAGCTGAGTACATGCCGAAGGGCAGACGGACGGATATAGCACGTCAGGTTGTCCAGGTTTTCGGACTAAACAAAATATCATAAATGGAAAACACACATGTACACAGCATAATGTAAAAGAAATTTCATAGATTTGGAGACATATCTTGAAAAGGAGGAGCCTAATGTCAAACTTCAAAATTTTGATCAAATGGCTTGATATCTGTTTATTCAGCAATCAAGATTAGAAGAAAATTATCCCAAATAAAGTAACAATATAGAAATAGTCATTTAATGTAATCGCAAAACAATGAAATGTTTCCAAAGTTCTGTCAAACGTGGTACAGAATTCTGCTAACGACTGAAGGGTAGAAACAACTTGCTAGAACTATAAAATGTGTTGCTTTTGAGGTTTTTTTAACCTAGAAAAACAGAAGCTAGGTATAAGCTAGGTCTCTCCCTCTCTCTTGATTTCTTAGCTCTTCCCACCTCTTCTCCATTTTCATAGCTTCGATAGGTGTTCAGTAAAAAAAATAGAAAACGTAATGTACGGAAACTCGTAAAGTTAACAGTACAGCGACGTAGTAAAATCAATACTGTCTTAGATTCTATTCTTATAAGAAAAACACAAAAATATCTGTTTACGAATTAGCATAACCTTCAAAGTCCTCAAATGCAGCAAGACTTGCAAATTTCCAACGTAATCGGTCTATGGTCCAAAATGCATAAAATATGTGCAAGTGAAATTGCCTTGACATACATGATAGATGGTTGGGAAATTTCCAACTCATTACTTTTTGATATTCCTAACCGGTTTAACTAATGTTGCAATCGGCAGATCAAGTGGATCAAATTCAAATTCCCACGTAAACAACCTTTCTTCTATTTTCGACGTTTTGTCGAAATTCTGGGTCGCATCCCTTTTCACTGCTACTGGTTGAGCCTGCATGCATACATAAAATGTCCAAAGAAAAACCAAGCCATCCGTTTATATAGAGGCAAATGTCACTTACTACATCCATATAACATCTCTAAGCAAAGGCAGCAAAACCTGTTTGGCGGCAACATTAGGAGAGACTCTGGTGAATCCTCCCTCTGAAGGAGATATTCCGCTTATGGACAGTGATCAATTGCCCCAGTTTATTCTATTCCTATATACATTGCTATGATCGTTGAATAGCGATAGCCGGTTGGCAGCAAGATTTTTGCAGGCTGGGAAGCTGGTTGAGTGCTTGAGAAAGAAAGAAGTTATGCATGCGAAGGGAAAGAAGAAGTTATGCTGGACAGATGATATGAAAAGATGCTGTAGGATCTGTGGGAAGAAATGTGGATAAGAATAGTGGGAAAATCTTACAAATGTCCAAAAAACTTTATTTTCAGTGGGCAAAAAGGAGATGAGCAAGATCTTACCAATAGAACTCAGCACACCAGATAAAGTCTGCAAAGACGCAGCTTGAAGGCGGTGAAATACAGCCAGCAGAAGTAGGACGTCGTAAAGACGCACTATAGCCGACATGGCAACGGATATTGGTGCGTGTGTTAGTGATACGTTATCCGGTAGCCATGTCTTCGAGAAGGTCAGTTCGTTCAGCCACGGGGGGAGAGATCTGCAACGTACGCGCAGGGGGAGGAGCAGTGGGGTCTGTGCGTCCCTACTGCGAAGTCTGCACGTCCGAGACGCGTGGCGCGCGCATCTCGGCGCTCTCGCGCGGCGCTTCCCGCGCTCGACTACGGTCGATCGCTGATCAGTTCGGGTGATAAGGGATTCTCGCAAGTTGGTCGCCGACAACCGACGACCTCGAAAATAGAGCAGAACCAGCCGCTCTCCCATCACCACCACACACAACCAGACTCACCATCGAAACGATTTAGGGAAATTCGCGACGATGAGTTGGCGTAGAGCTCAAAGGATGGTGGTAATAGGGCTATCAGTCAGTCGAAGCAGCACCAGCTTCTTCAAAGTCCTGCGAAACTTCCGATAGAATGGATTAAGTGGGAGTAAAAGTTGACTTAGTTTTGACGGATGAAGCATCTGCCTCCGAAATGGCGCTTGTTGCTTTAATCCTCTAAGACGATGCTTCCGTTCGCTACTTGCAAAACTGCTGAGAAGAATTTTGAAAGTTTATGTGACTAGTGAGATAAAAACTGCAAACACCTTTCCCCGAGAGAGCCATTCAATGATCTTACACTTTCAAAGCTTGATTATATATGCGTACATTTCATAATTTTTCGATCAAACTATTAGATGAACACAAAAGTCGTGCACCAAAAAATACAGAAATTTCGTTCTAAGGATGTCCCAGTTATTACTTATTTTCTGTATCAATAAAACGTTCTACATAGATATTATGAATTTTTCCGTATTGAAAGCAAAAAGTTGAATAGAATCGAAAATCATAACAAATCGTATAAATGTCCCTTCAACACGATTTTTCATTAGCTAGAAAACAGGCCATGAAACCAGAAGGAAACCAAAGCGAGAATTTACCAGACTTTTCACAAGTTCTAGTAAGCAAAAAAACACTTTTGGAGCGTTTTGCAAAATAGCAATAATATTTGCTTTGAACCTTTAAAAAATGTGAGATTCTCTCTATTTGCTATGTAATAAATCGAAATATTTCATTCAAATTAGAACAAATTGCAAAATTTTCAAACTTCTGGCACAAAACTTATGTGGCAATCCAATACTTTGATTACTTCTGAAATATTTTGAGGCTCCAGTGTACCTAGAAACGGCAAAAAGAAAATTAAAACTCTTTCCTCTATGCCGTTTGATATCGTCATTTCCTTAGCCTGTATTACGTATAAATGCGCACATTTACTACCCAATGAGTTTCTGGTCAATGCTCTTTGTTTATCTTTGAGATTGTTTGAGCCTCATCATGCTTAAAAATAGCAAAATAAAATATGCAGACCTTTTTCTTACGAGCCATTCGATAATCGTACTTCTTTATCCTGATTATATACGCATACATCTCAAATTCATTGAATTCTCAGTTGAAGGCTTCGATTATTCATGCAGTCTTGAAAAAACACCCTTCGAACTCTCCCTTTCACCTTGACAGTATTCAATGTGATAAATTACCCCAATGTCATCAATCCTCGGAGCTCGACGAGGGCAGAAATGCTGAAACTTGCGCCAAAGATTAATTCACGGAGTCTTGATGACATATGGGTCACAATTAGCTGAAGGGCCAAAATCTTGATTTTTACATAGTCGAAGTGATACCACGTAAAGAATATGACGAATGTCAGTTTTGCAAATTTTGCAGAACCGTCCTACTTACGAAGTCGTGTCATACATACATTACTACATTACACCACTCTTTGAGCAAGAAACTTTTCTTTCTTTTGGAGAATTTCGCAGTTTTCGCTCTCACGCCAAACATTACGATTGAATCAAATAGATTCCGATGCCATCACTTTCAGCTGCCTACTGCTTCTTATACAATTTCTTTTCCGCTGCTTTTCTATTGTTCGAGCTGCTAAGTTTTTGTATTGTATTGTGTAGATGCACTCAAATGAGACCAATACGCAATTCCACTAGAATCACAACCCCACACATGCCGGAATAATTGTACGCCAAGTTACAAGAATATGATTTTATGATAGGTATTGCATTTGTGAGCAAGTCCTCTCATAGTCTTATAGAATATGTTACAATGCTACAACTATTCTACATCAAAATTGTACCACTCTAGGTTTTAGAACTGAGTGCATTTGGCTAAAGTAAAAGAGGAATTAGAAATGATGTAAATTTAGAGTGAACTGTAAAGTAAGCGAGTAAAAAAGGACGGAAATAGAGCACCTCAAGTAAGGGGGTGCTCTATTTCCAAAAACGAAGTTATTGGCAAAGTTGCAAAACTATGTGCCAACCTAATAAAACTGGATGATTTGTACATATACTAGATCATAAAACTTTATAGACTATACACTTAATGTCAATTACGTTATCTCTTTCGCATGGCAACTAAGCATGCGCAACGCAAGGGCCTGCGTGTGGAATTCCAATCGATGAGGCCAATTTCATCACGAACGGGCGCGACGCGAAGCTTATTGCGTTTACGGAGAAGGGAGCATGTGATTGACATGGACTGTACTTCGCGAACTATGCCATCCGCACAGAACGTGCACATGAATTGCTCTATGAAGTGCTATCGATCTTGATGTTTTCTGATATCGCGAAAAATTTGCAAATTTCAAGGCATTTTTAATCACTCTATAACTTTGACCCAAAGCAACTACTTTCATTCAACATCAGTTGTGGTATAGATATGGTTTGAAATTTATCTCAGACTTTTCTCTTAGGATAATCAAACGAAGATGAAGTTGCATTATTATCTTGACGCGAAAGTTTACATTTTTGGAAACAAAGACAATCAAGTGACTTTAACTTTTTTGCTATGTACATTGAAGAGATTATCGCTCTTATCACTTGTTCTTGTGCAATCCATGAAATAACTTCAATCTCTCACGTTTTAACGAGGCGATTGTTAAGAATAAGTCGTAAACACTATAGTCAGAACTCAAGCTCAACTCTCCTTTTATCTTTCTTCCCTTCAAAATTGAAAAAATCAGATCAAGAGCTAAGCATGGAATTTACCAACATGTGTGCTGATAGTCGGATTTTCTAAGTTGTGAAGGTGAGGCAGTGCAGGCCAAACTATAGGTTGCCATCAAAAAAGCCGTAATTCGCCGCCAAGAACTGATCTAAATTTGGTACAGTTATGTATGTATCATCCTACTATTTTCAATACGGGCCTCGGCTTCGTTACATTTTCCGAGAAAAATCAAAAAAAATTGAAACAAGCAGGCATGAACGTAGGTCCAAAACTATGAGACCAGCTAGAGCTTCTTTTATTAGAACTAGCTTTGAAAGCCTTTCACGTGAAAACATGTTAAGAATGTTGAGTAGCTGCTCCAGCTACTGTGTCACATTTTCATAAAAGTTCTTACCTGCTTTCTTGACTCAAAAATACTTTCAGACGTACTTTGCTTCTTTTCTGTGTATGAGTATAAAAAACTCTGCAGTTTCTCATCTGATTTGATAACGACGGGATGACAACTGTTTTCTGATGCTTAGCGATCTGAGCGTATAACAAATTGTGTTCTCGTTGTGTAGCAAACCCTATTTCGACTTGGCCGCAAAGGTAAATTCAAATTCCGACGAGCTTAGCAAATATGTTACAATGTTCGTGCTATGCAGGCTTACAAAATGATGTGAGATCCATAGATTTTTCCTAACATTAGTAAGCAGTTGATTCAATAACAACTTCAACAACTGGTGGGGTATTTCCTTTTCAAAATCAAGGAAAAGCTTGAAAAGCTTATCTAGTGTCAAGCAAAGGTGAAATATATAGGCGAAACCGGACAGCCGCTATGTTTATGGATTGAGAAGCACCTTAGATAGATCCATAAAATGTAAAGTATCAGCATCCCCATGAGGCTATCGTTAAACAGTTCATGAAAATTCGGTAGCCACAGCCGCTTCATTTTAACTTAAAACCTGAGACTATCGAGCGCAAAAGGTTTGAAGAATGTGGATTTCTTTGCGGATTCCAAAAATGAAAAAGGAGAGTGTCCCCAAATTCACCTTCTCAATCTTTAAGGGGCTTCAATGGTGAAGAAGCTTAGAAGGCAACGGCCTATGCTCTGCACATCCTGAGTTTGAGCGATCACATCTCGTCTTCCATTCGATGAGGTAAGCACTGCTCTCGCACTTGTTCGTCTCTCATAGCAAATCGGCACGACTTTTGTGGCAGAGAAGAGACATTTGCGAGTAAAACTTCGAATTGAGGCTCAAAGACAAGGCGTTCGAAACGTAAAAAATAAATCTTACCAACCTGGCACTGCTCAACAGGAAAGTTTCAAAATAGAGATTTTTGCAGTTTGCATCAGAAGAAGATTAAAAACTTTTCAGACCAGTGAAGGATTTGCATTGCCTTGAAGGTACCTCTTCTGTACGTTGCTTCACATGGCACCGCTCTTTTGGCAGTGTAGAGGAGATGCTATAATAGTGCAGGTTTGACGAAATAGTCGTGATAATGTATCTGAGCATCAAAGAAAAGATGTGTAAATAAAGAGTACCGGAAATGCCAGCTACTACTTGGGATCATTCCGTATTCGCACGAAAAACGCGCCACTTGCACAATTTTATAGCATGCCACTGTTGGTCTTGAAACATTTTCTGGCAATGTAGCGATAAAATTCGAATAAAGAACATGTTTATCATCAAGGGGCTTCGGAAATTATTTTTCAGGGCTGAATTACTTTACTAACGGGAAGCTACCTAACTTAGCTCGCGCTTTCGGAATAAGACACATGTATTTGCAATCGGCCTGGTACGCTGATGCCAAATATGCTGTTTCCAGGTGCCACGCATCATTCGGAACGAAGTTACGAGGGCCTCCTTTCGTATGAACCGGCAAGTCTAGAGTAAACTCGACAATGATTAATAGAGAGTCGTGTGGTAAAATGGTAATGTCTCGCCTTGTACGCTGAGGGTCCCGTGTTCGAGTCCTATTGAACGTTCTTCGTTTTGCAAAGGTAGTCCACAAACCCAGACATGATCCACAAGTGGTCAATCATGTATACATGCATCTTTGGTAAGTGGGGTTATCATAATTCGAAGATGTTGTGCCCCGAGCTGGTCGTTGCTTATCTTTCAAAGACCTTTAGCTCTCGTGACATTACAGAAGAGCCGTCGAGGAAGGAGCAGACTAATGAAAACTTTCGAGGGCTTGCAAAACGAAAACCTGCAACAGGACCCGTGCCCCGGACCCTCAGCGTACAAGGCGAGACACTTACCACCAGGGTAAAGCGGGGGGTGCGGCACGCCGCAGGGGGGGGGTCGTAAGGGGGGGTAGGTAGGGGGGGGGGTCGTATCGACCCAAGGTCAAAAGCGGTTTCTAAGGGGAAATGACTGCAGCTGAGTTCTTAGATGTGCCACGCTGTTGAAATCCTGCAAAATTCAAGTTCAACGACACAAACTTGCAGATATCGTATGCCTACCGTAACCTACCGTACCTCTAATCAAGCATAATTGTCGTAATCCGCGTGTCGAATAACCCCTATGCGCCAAGTTTCAGCGAACTCTGAGGTCTGCGAGCAGCAAACAACCTTGTATAAAGCAGTAATTTAAAACATGATTAACTTCATCTTAACGGTGAGTAAGCTACCTCTTCTTGCACTCAATACAAAGCACTACTCCTTCTTTGTCCACCTCAGGAATCCCGCTTCAGAAGACCTCCAAACTATTGAATTAGAAACCAACCAAAATCGCTTTTAGCTTTTAATCGCTGTGCTTTCACCAAATATTACTCAGAGCAAAGAAGACGAATCAGGCTCAAAACATCCCTATGGAATCTATGAGGTTTAGGCTATTGATTCATATAAATATTATCCGCTAAAAATGTTTTTTTGATATAGTTAATTGCCTGCGGCACCCCCCCTCAAAACCTGCGGCTGCCGCAGGTTTTGAGGGGGGGTGCCGCAGGCCATTAACTTACCTTCAAATCGTTCAAACAGCTGCCTTTTTCATATCATCCTATAGATTCATCCTTCCTCTCTCCGTAGTAGCTGTTTCCCCTCGAACCTTTTTCTTTAGAAGGAAATACATATGGTTTTTGCGAACCATATGCTGGGAAGTGTGGCTAAAAAATATTGGGTTACGGTAGCGCTCAAAGATTGTCAAAACACACAGAGGCGCGAGATACGCGCCTTTGAATCCCACTCTCGTTATGAGCTGTGATGTTCTCGCCTAGCCCTATCAGCTCCTCCAGCCCAGATCGTACAACGGCCCTTAGTAGTCTTGTGACCTTCGTGCACAGACGACCCAACACTGGCATTTTCCCTAGAATAGTCCTGTGCGATGTTGCAAGATTTGTAAGTTATTATCTATTTGCCGGTTGGTCGTTATCATTATGATGTATATTGCAGGCCTTGGCAAATCTGCATCAAGAACATATGCAGTGCGTACTAATGCTCAACTTTATCTACGAGAAGATCTACACCTTCCTGTGGTTCTGGGTTTTCATTGCCATTGCATCTACTTTCTCAGCAATAAGGTACACGATCGCATTGTTTCTACCAATGTATCGCGGGCTAATTGCTGACAACTTTTTACCGGTGAGTTTTCGATTCAGAAAAGTTCTTATCTCATAATCTTACTTCAGACACAAGACGTGCTTTTTTCGAACTTTGCTGCTGAGCATGGTGTACGTCGCCAACCCCAGTCGCAAGTAGAGCGCTTGTGGATTATTTTGTGCACAAAATTCTCAGGTACCTCTCAGGCAATTTATTTCATCTCTCATTTCAATTTATTTCATTCACCAGTCTTCTGCATTCCAATCATTGGGCTGTAGATGGGCGAATGAACATTGCCTGCCTTCCTATTTGCATTCAATGTTTTAATTTTCGAATGTTGCTTCGCTCACTTAGTTAGTTAGACAGTGTTGGCCCCTCATAACCGAGGCGAGCGTCGAACACGGCTCAGTAGAAATAGGTAATGGCGCAAGCTTCGCTTTTTGGCTCGTATCGCCTTTCTATGTAATCATCAAAAACTTGCTTTTGTGCATGCGTCCCCCTATTTCATGCCGATTGTGGCTTAGTGTAGATAACAACGGGACTTTGAGCTCCCTTTTGTCTTTAAGTTAACAGAGATTTTTTGAAGGTCCATGGTGGCAACGGACCTGGCAAATTCTATCATGAATGCATACGTAGTTGCTTCTACTGCTCAATATTCGATGACTGTTGAAGTAGGAGCAAGATCGTCCACATTTCACTGTTCGATGGCTAATTTCAGATCACGAAACCCCTGTAGGCCTTTTTTGGAATATGTGCACTTTACTTTACCCCTCTGCATCTTGTTGGAAAACACTTTTGACAGCGCAGTCAATCATACTCAGCTTTTTGAATCGTACATCCTACTGTGTTCTTCACTATAACTGAACTTGCTTTCTTCGGTTGAGCGTCTGAATCTTTTAGAATTAAAAGCTGATTTCCTAAATCAGGTCAATGTTTACCGTGTGTAGTGGGTGTCGCCATCCATTTATGTGACTTTTATGCTTGTTAGGAATGCGCCATACTTGATCCGCTGATCCACTTGATCAATTCAATCCACTTCGTTAATGGTCAGTTTGCTGATCTGACCAATAGCGAAGTGGATGAATTGGATCAAGTGGGCATCCGCTTTGCCATTGGTCACTTTATAGATTTCCAATAGTGAATGTGGATGAAGTGGATCAAGCGTATCAAGTGGATCAAGTATGATGGTGCCCTATATGAATCATATATTCGTGTATACGCTATTTCTGACTTTCAGATGTGATGGCATTCTCTTACTTTCATTCATAAATGTGAACGCTGGAGGTCTTGTTACGCACGATATCGCGCACCAGCTTTGGAAAATCACTGTGCAGCCCACGTTCAAGTATGTTTCACAACTTTGAGATTCATCAAATTGTTGCCAAAGCGAATTCGACAGGGGCGCCGCCACAGTGTCTCCATCCGAGGAGTGCACCGTGAGAAAGGAGTCTGAGATGAGGAAAGATTCGGGGATGTTGTACTGGCCGAGCTTCATTAACCTGCCTGCAACTGTAATATATTCATTTGAGACATTTAGAAGCACAATTATCCTGTTATTTTGCTTCTAGGTAAGAAAAATGGGCTTGGCAAAGCGAATGGAGGCTGCTGGTGACAGCCGCGATGTTTCTTTCAATGACAAAAAGTCATACGCAATAGCACAACCCATGGTACGCATGCGATCTCTCAGTGTTGGTGTAAGTTGTCACGACGTACACCTCAGTCGATCGATGGGGTTTGAAGTTAGCGGGTTAAATTGCAGAATCTGGAAGCCGAGCCTACAGCTCCTATGGAATCTTCGCCTTTGATTTCTGACGGATCTACACAAGCCGTCGAGGACTCGACGTGTCCCATTCAGAGGTATTTTCTAATATCTGCAGTGCTTATAATATGTAGTTCTCTCAATGACTCCGTTGCAGTCTTCCTGCTTCACCTGGTAGACGACGCCGTTTTGCCAACGGAGGACCAGGAGTTGCTTTTGTCGACAATCGTTCTGAGAAGAAGTAGAACAAATTGTTTGAAATGGTGTGCTAATAATCTTAATAAGAAATCTAGCTCTAGTGTAAGTTCTCTACGGCGTTTGTTGAAATAAAAATATACCGAATGTGAGTTGAAGCTGTGAAAGGCAAAGGCATCGTCCACCCAAATTGGGGTTGGTGAGACTATGATACCTAGCAGATGCAGGGCCCCCAACTAAATGATTGCCCAACTTGCGCTGCCTGAAGCTGCTTCCGAACCGAAAAAACTGCTTCGGAAATCGCTTCTGGCCCCGTTCGCGACGCTGGTTCCTCCCCTTTCGGGTGGGCATGACGTTCGTCCCGCCCATCCGTGCGCGCCCAACCAATCACGTACCGAAGAAATCGCTCTGCGGGTTCTGGAGACAGGGGTTTTTCGTGGTTTTCGTGGATTTTCAACTTGATATTCGCAATCAGAGGTATGAGAAGGCCCTGGAACGGCAAAAACATGGAGGTCGAAATTCCGGGTGGACGGTGCCTTCAAGAGCGAGAGGGGGGGGTCGTGCCGAGGTCCGGCCCAAGGGGGGGGGGTCGTATCCGACGGTCGTGTGCCGCACCCCCCGCTTTACCCTGCTTACCACTTTACCACACGACCCCTTTTGGTCATTGTCGAGTTTCCCATAGACTTGCCGGTGGAGGAGTCATACGGAAGGAGGCCCTCGTAACTCCGTTCCAAATGATGCGTGGCACCTGGAAACAGCATATTTGGCATCAGCGTACCAGGCCGATTGCAAATATATGTGTCTTACTCCGAAAGCACGAGTATGTTAGGTAGCTTCCCTCTTAAGTTTGATTGCTTACAAGATGAACAAATTATTTGCTTACAATAGAACTTGTTTACCCCACATATAAACATCTTTCTGGCCTCCAGGGGGGGGGGGAGGGGGTGTGTGATAACTCAAATGACAAGTTCAATTTTCGCGGTCAGACAAACATGCAAAGCTGGAGCTTTTAAGACAAATAATAAGTGAAGATCGTCAGTGGAGATCACTTTACAACGCAACACAATAATTTTGCGGTTCGCAAGTGGGACCAGCTCCGAGCTGCTTGCAAACGTGCTGCCGCCTAAAGCTTACCGTCTCACCCTATATATATAACTATATCTAGATTATGTGCATCAATTCAGGGACCGTGCATAATAGGGCGATTTTACATCTTGAACAGAGATCTCTGTGTCTTGGCTCGCAAATGTAAAAATATTTCTGGTCCTTGAAAGTTAAGTACTTAACTCATACGCAAGCTGTAAATTCTACACCTCATTGCTGACGAACAACTGAAACAAGGAAATTAACATGAACTTCGATCCGTCTATACCTTAATTTCACTGTGGAATTTTCATCAAATTAGCTTGTGGGACCTTTGTGTGCAGGATCTTGCGCGCAACATTGCCGGCATACGAAGAGATGGGCTTTTGCGAGAGAGTCTCCCTTAGTCTCGTCGTGGATATTGTTGAACTTGGAGGGAACTTTATCTTTGGCATAGTCATAAGATATCAACAATTCGCAAAAAAGGTACAGAATATTATTCACTATAATTGTTTTTTTAGTAAGCACTTTTTTCGACATCATAGTTGGTGATTCTCAGCACGTTGCATTTGCAGTCTTAAGTGCCTCGCAATTTTTTCAAAGTACCGCATTGCAATATAAAAGGAGCGTCATGGCGTGACTGCTATCACTTTTGATAAATTTAATCGCCAATTCTTTGTCCTACTTTTCTTAGCTCGTCACTCACTTTGTGTCAGAATTACTGCCGTACTCAAGCTTTACTTATTATTAGTTGCCGCACACACCAGCGAATATGAATAAGAGTATACTCTATCGATGGCAAGGTAATCCTTGCGATGACAAATCAAATTTTATTATAGTGTGTAATTCGCTCCTAGAACGTTCCAAGCTCTAAGCTCCGCTTTAGCATATGCTAAATCTCTGGAATTTGAGGCAAGCAATGGGATGCTGAAACTGTAGGGCTGATTAATAGAATAATGTTGATTAGAGTATTTTCGAAGGATGCAGTTGCCGTTGCAAGATTTTCTTTCATTGATGTCATGTTTGGAGAAACGTACGGTAAGTTGATTTGATATTTGGTGGTTGAAAACTGACGTTCCGGAAAAACAGAGGCTGCTGTTCTTCTTATGTCGAAGGAAAGTCCAGATAACCTAAAGTCACTACGGTCACAAGCTGTAACAGATAAAAAGAAGGTTAGAGTGACTGCAGAAAAACCACCACAGATTACTATTATGGTGGACTCAATTAATTCTATTTCCTTCACTGTAAGAAGTTTAGTATTCCACATTTGGGTTTTGGTTAAGATTCGGGTCCCGGGATATGAGATAAGCGCCACCTCTTAAGATGAAATGTCTTTGGTATGTCAAAAAAAATTTATGACATTATTGACCTTGAAAAAGTTCGAAGTGTCATAAACTCGTGGTAATTATAAAAAAAGGGTTTCTTGGACAGTGGCGTCATTTTTAGAGTTAAGGAGTTCGAAGTATCATAAACTCGTGATAATTATAAAGATCTTGGACAGTGGTGTCATTCTTAGAGTGAACAAAAACTAATGCGGCGTTTGATAAATTTTGAGTGAAAAAATGCTTAGAGCAACTTTTGTAAGAATTTTAGAGTTGTGGAATTTCCGTCGGTGTTGGCTTTCGTATAAAGCATACGTTAGGAAATTTCATGATGACAGAAAAGCTTCTGCGTAAAATACATAGCTTGTGTTAAATTTGTTTATCAGATGATGAAGGATTTGTGTTAACTTGAAGGAAGTTTTCTCGGAAAGCTTTGGTAAATATCATTTTGTTCATTTTTTTTCGCACGCTGTCGAAATTCAATGGCAAATTCTTTGTACTGACTTTATCGGTGTCGAATCGTTCTTGTTTTAGCAAAGGTTTCACAATTTTTCCCGCACTGAACAAACAAAGTTGTCCCAATCTTAATTTAATTGAATGAAAAGCGTATCGACTACGCAGCCGCGCTCGAATTTTGGTTACAAACGCACAACTACAGGCTGTCAAACTTGCCTCGGAGGAACTCTTCTCGCCACTGAAGTTGATTCTGTGAGCCAGCCACACTTGAATGGTGAGCTCGAAAGATGTGCAAGGTGTTGATCAAACAATATTTATAGTAATCAAAAATTCGGTTATCAGTGCGTAAAGGCAACACCTTCAAAGATTTACTTAACGGAGAAAGTTTGGGGTGCATATTGGTCAAGTTTTCAATTTCTTCGAAAATGTTTGCAAGCACCACCTTAGAGTCGCGAATGTTCCTATTAACAGCTCTAGTTATATTTCTCGTAGCCACCGAAAAGCACTCCTGCACTGATTATGCCTGAGAAAATAGTACACAAGCAGGCTAAGCCTGAATTGACCTTTTCACCTTTTGCGCATACAAATGCATAGCTGAGGACAACTACGCATGTTTCGTGAATAACATAGTGTTTTGCAGTGAATTTGAAATTCTCAAACAGGATCAATCTGCATTAGGTTAGAGCCGTATGAAGAATTATTTCGCAAGTGCCCTGAGGCATTGTTTACGACCATAAATTGAGAGTTCTCTTAACACCTCTGGTGAAAGAGCCACAGAACTTTAGATATGTCAAAGGGAATCTGCATTTGTTTCGACTGGAAAATTGAAGGCGAAAGATTCTCAGTAACCTTAGAAAAAGAACCTCGACGCTTCTGCGATACTTTTGTTGCAAAATCTGTAAGTTATGGCAAAAGAATATATAGCAGAGCTCTCGGATTTAAAAAAAGGGAAAGATTGCGGTACCTTGTGGGAATAGCTGTAGTACTTTGGGTTTTGAAATGATACTCGAGTCGCTATACAAAAATTATGTCCAGAATAAAATAAGGTGCGTTGACCATCTATAACAAAATGAATATCCTTAGATGGGTCTTACGAGATGATGCCAGATCTACATTTAAGCACTCACTGTTCGAAAACATTCACATGAACTTATTTCTCCTTGCACAGGGTATGCGAAAAATTGACGGTAACTTTGTCAGTGACACAAACCACTCGCAGTTATGATCTCATTTTCATGCCACAAAATGCTGCAATCCTTTTTTGAAAACCATAGTTTCACCAGAGTTAGCCTAATGTGATACCTATACATGTGTAAGCGCTAAATTATCAAATAAGTAGTTTTGAAGAGTGCGAGAATGAACCCAACTTTTGACTTTGGTTGATTTTGGTACTTGCTACACATTTCTAGGATTTCACTTTATTGTAGGTTGCAGCCGAAGACTTTGACGGGGTAGAGGACTATATGTCGCCGAAAAAGGGCGGTCCCCGCGGTCATTTGCGACAAATACGCACCCTTCATGCGCGGACATGCGTTCCTACAGGGAATCCGCGCGGGACTCTTCCAAATTCGGCGACATATAGTCCTCCACCCACTTTGATGTGCATGTCCTTGAATAACAGTAATAATAATAATAATAATAATAATAATAATTCTAAACGGATGCAAAACGGATTTCTAAAGCACATCTGCGTATTGCGGACAGCTCCGACAATAAATTATATTTTATGGTTTCTGTAACAAAGGTTGAAATTTTTGAAATTATTAATCTTGTACTTAGCTTTTGAATAAAGAGATGCCACCAGAGCGCACGGCTTACATTTTGTTGGAATCACTCAGTGAGTTTGGTTCTTGCAGAATACACTATCAATTCACTCGGCAGTTTATATTCCACCTCATGCCAATCACGTTCTCCTAGCGACTTCAAATCACTTTATGCCTTGAACTCTCAATGGCGTCATTCTAAACGCCCATGAATTCCTTCTAGAGAACCCTTCAGCAGATGTTGACGGCAACTAATGCAATCAGATCATCAAGGCGCATGTAGTTTTGTGCATAGCTTCCACATCCACACTGCGACTTTGTATTTCCCCTTGAATTGAAGTTTGAGATTCAAAGGAAATTCTTATCGGCTACCGCCGGAAGCGGAAAATACCTTACTATTAACACAGAAGAGGAAAGTCAAATAATTGCGCCTTTTACTTTACAAAATTGAGAAGTGCTGGAAAACACAAGATACTAAAAGTCAAGTAACAAAGCGAGGTTTGATGGCAACGGTGCTTAGGTCGCGCCAAAACCATACGAAACAGCCTTGTTACCATACAAAGAAAGCCATAATGCTTTGGCCCCTGCTTTGTTGCAGTCGCTTTCTCTAGTAGCAATTATGTAGACTTAATGAAGATTTCTAAGCACTAATCATAGCACTAATCATATCAGCTGGTAAGTTGTGATAATGAAACTCTCCACTTCTTTCCTTCGTCAATCAAACCTATGTGCAATGATGATTTCTCAAACCGAATCAGTGCTTACTCATGGTCGTGACAATGGAAGCTATTTAGGATGCGTTTCTTGAAATTTTTGCTTTTTGCATTAGTTGCGGCATCGAACGCTTTCATGAATCCGAATAGCATCGAGCAATTCTATAATAGGTTTGTAAAAATATTCCAACAAGATTCCTTCGAAATGTCGACTTTGCAGAGGCTTGGAGCAATCTTCTAAAAGTACTCTCCTTGAGAAGTCGGATGCAGGTTCAGGTTTGCGATTTGTCCTTTTACTTTACTGTATAATTTAAATAGAAAATTGTTCTCAAAACTTTTTTGTTGTAGCTAAAGTGGGAGGTGTTGCGGTTCCCAACATGCTAGATCCGTTTTTTTGGACCGTGATTGATGAAGCGTACCTGTACAGACTTCAACGAGAAGCTTTGGCTTATAGCTGAACACTTTGACTGTAATTAGCTACGTTTCAAAGGGAAAATAGGAAGATTAGCTGACCAACTTTCAAAAATATCACAGTTCAATAAATTTTCTGCGCTATTTACAAGGAAAGCATGTTCAGTCGACGTGGCTTCTTCAGATCGGATGTATAAGCTACTGAAGAGCATAAAACGATGTTTGTGGATGAGGAATTATGGCATTTATTGGATCAAAAATTCAAAAATTCTTTAGGATAAATGAGTTGCTAATATTTTACTATTACAGTTAAAAGTGTGATATGTTTTTTTAGAGAAATTTTTGATGCTCTGATAATCGTCACTGCTCCATCAAAGCGTTAAAATACTACGACTGTTTTCGTCCTACTTACACATTCAGTTTCTTTGCCCTAGTAAACGCTTACAACTTCTCGTCCATAGACCCTCCGCAGGTTAAGAAGGTAGATTTGGAATCAACGTTTTATGCCCCTTAATATGTGTACTCCCATCTAAAAAGGTCACTTTAAATGAACATGCGTCCTTTGTCAGGTATTAGAAAGTACTGGAGCAAAATTAAGAGGAAATGAAGACGGGGACTTACATTTTCGTAAGCATTGCAGCTTTAGAATTGAGTGTTGTTTCTTTAGGGCTTCTCGCAATTCTTTTAGGTTGTCCTAAAAGTGAACGCATTTTGTAAATAGATCAAGCGGTTTTCCCTTCTCTAGCAGACTAGGGTACCGTTCGATAAAGTGAAGAAAGCATAACTAACTACCAAAGGCAAACGTAACTCTTAATTTGGGTAAAATTTGGAGCCAAAAATCAAAATATTCCAGCTATTTCAAAAATCGAATTTTTCCCAAAAAACTCCTACGGACTCCAACTTGGCCATCATACAGACACATACAGTAGTAAACAAAATGCATTTGCTGGATGTTTCCCGCGTATGGAAATCGAGAAAAAATGTGATTAAAAAAAGCCAGCTTCGCCCCAGCTCCCTTCATACATGTGATTGTATACCGCAAGCCTTGATGAGCTATATGTGTCTGTTAATCGAGAAATAGCGAGCTTAACATAAGAACTTGAAAAAATGACATCTTGCATTTTCGGGCTATTATTTCTCAAAATTGGGCCCTGAACAAATTTAGCAATGCACTCCACAATAACTATGTCTACTGTATGATGACCATGTGTAAGGTTCGCAGTTTTGGATGAATGACTTTGAAACTGTGGGGTGAAACCTAGTTCATCTTTTAGACTATCACATGTAAAGAGAAAGACGCAGTTTGTATGGCAATGTTATTCGTCCATTTCAGATATTAGAGCATGTGAAGGTTTATAAGATAGATAGAACAGCAATGATACAGGTACCTAGAGCAGCGAGATATGACGCGTCCGCTCTTAGATCGTCTCCTCTCCTCAGTAAAATTGTAGATGCATAGGCACCTTGAACAAAGTGTTTGCAATATGTGGCCGATCGAGGGCAGTGATCACCAATGGACGTTAGGACGCAGGCTGCCTTAATGCTAATTACATAAACAGATAAATGTTGACAACGTAGTGGCTTTGTCCAATCTTTTAAACAATACTTTTATCAAGCCAAGCCGAGAAAAACGCGTTAAGCTAAGTTAGTACCAGGCGAACATTTGGCCAGCTTTTTTCCACGCTCTTTAGAATTTGCGCTAGAATTCTAGTCCCAGTTACTTAAATGCAGACTTTCTCATTACTTGTTAAAGAGAAGGAAAAAGTATGTTTTGCAGCCGACGTATAATTTTAGAAACTCTGTAACAGCTGTATTTTGTAATGGATAAAAATGATAAAGGTCAACTAGGAATTGAAGCTGAAACTCGGCGAATGGCGCAGATTTACAATGGTCATCGAGAAAGTAATGAAAGGAAACAATTTAGTTTCGAGAATTGATGCGCTTCTAAGGCTTTTAAATTTAGTTTGGCCATAAATGATCACCGGGGCAGGTAACATTGTTTTTTGCTGTCAGCAATGTGAGATTTTGCTTATCAGCTATTGAAATTGCCTTTTAGCATGTCGTGATCATTGCGAAAGTGGGTGGACTTACTTCGACAAGACCGGAGCTTGCTATAAGGTACGTGAGAATTCATTTGAATGGAAGGTAAGAGCAAGTCATGTCCAGATGATTCTGGAAATAAAAAATATCACCATTATGATCAAGTGACACTATTTTATACATAAAATATGTAGTAACTAAATTCAAATCAAGAGATGATTTTAGTAAGATTAGGTGAGCAGGTTTGCTTCTCACAAAAAAACGGTCTCAATTCAAGTGGGATGAAATTATAATCAGATGCATATTGATGAGCTGATTCCAAAGATACTTTTTATACCTGCAATGCGGTTCTTTGGAAAAGTTATAAATAAACATTTAAAACTTTGAATTCGGCAAGCATTCAGTGCCACATCTTCAAAAATTAGTTGTTTTGAAACACTTATTTGTGTTCGGTGATGGCCTTATTATATTCAATATGGCGTTCGTCTTGCACTCCCAAGTTGGCTTGCAAGGTACATTATGCATCAAAACCTTGAGGACTTCACACTTCACACTTTCAACCTGTCACGTTTTTTTTTCAAGAACCGCACTGCAGATATGGCAGATTTGGAATCAGCACATCATGACTGCGTTTCATTCCACCTCAACACCTCGATTTAGGATCGTTCCCTTGTCAAACTCGGCCATAATTCACGCAATTCAGCCTCCACAAAATTTAGCCCTACCCTACTTGTTTATGACTCAGGCCCATATGCACCAGGGCCTAAGGCACACTTCAAGCGTTAAATGCGGCGCGTTCTGGCATTACAGCAACTGCCCGTAACTGGTCGTAAGCAGGATTTGGTCGGGGCTAGACTCAAATGCTTTTGCGACATCTTACAGAAACCATCCCTTTATGCATTTGGAACACACGCACGGTTGATCTGTACACTGCTGGCAAATAGACAAGTCGCCCGAATGTGGCGATACGACGATATTGCGGGAGGTACGCTTTAGGCCTAATATCCTGTAGTAAATGATGAAAAAGCCGCAGTAGCTTACGAAGTCGGCTCTTTCATGTCGGGTGACGCCGCTCCTGTCGCCGCAGGGTGTTCGTGCATATGGGCCTTAGTGTACTCATTCAACGCGCATATTGAGCGTGCAAAAAATCATTGCATTCTGTGTGCTCACAACCTAATCATGCACACCATACATTTTTGGTATGGACAGCTACATTTGAAGACATCCGGTGTATCGTAAATCACCCACTGCCTAAGGACCAAAATCGGCGTTACCTTTTGAGCTTTGTCGGAAACTTAGAAGTATACCTAATGATCATAAAATGTAGCCTTTGATATATGGTATACGTTATGATGTTTGCCTTGAAAAGCTAATCTTAAAACATCTCCGCTGTTTGCAGAATGATTCTAGGAGTTTAGTCGAATCTGCAAAGAAATGCGCAGAGATACTAGCTTTGTTTTACCATGAAAGGTGACGAGTGGTATAGTGGCACGTGTAGTGGACCATGAACATGCACTTGTTGGCGAGTTTGCCTCTGAATGCAGAGGAATACTTTGTCTTCGTTTGAACTGCTGCAATTCTTCTGACATGAGCTTTTTTTCGAAAGTTGCTCCGGTAGCAAATGTTAGGGTGATTGCTGAAAAATGGGGCACCTAGAGAATAAATTTAGATTTCTTAAAAATAAAAGTGAATAAACTTCCCAATTTTGATAGATGTTAGAACAAATTATTCTCTTTCAGAAAAAACACATATAAAAAGTCATTTACATACGTAGTAATTCTTATAGTGGCTGAAATGCAAAGTTAGTCACTTTGACAAATTATAGACTTCGGGCAGTATCTGCGCAGTGAAACATGCGAAACCATCCAAAGTACTACTGCTGCAATGCGTGAAGGTACAGTCACCAGACCCACGATGGGATGCTGGCCTCAATTTTCAAATTCAGGAGATATGGCCATTAGCAGCTTTGAGAACAAAAATGCGTGCTATTCAATTCTTTGCAGGTGAACGCATGGTTTATAGGTACCTTCTGAAAGAGCTTTTTACGCTCTATCCATCGTTACGCAGACTACCTCACATTTTGTCTATCTTCGGAAAATACGGATTGAAACTTGATTTATTTGTTGTTGGTCCAAAAAATAGCGTTTTTTCAAGTGCTTCGCTTTTTTTTACCCAGAAATAGAAAGAAATCCTGCACGATATACTGTTTGAGCGTGAAGACCTCTTTCGAATGGTCTATCATTTCAACTTTACGATATGGCAGCGCAAGAATGAGCGATGTTCAAAAAACCCTATTCGAGTTCTTCAGGGCGCCACGCGTAGGGTCGTGGGAGAGGAGCGTTGACGCTCTGCGAGAATAATAGGCGAATGTCGCTTATATAAGCGACGTTTACGTTGCAGCCTGCTTGTTGTTGATCGAAACAAAAAAACTCAAAATTCAATAAAAATCAAGCTGTCCCATTTTTTACCGTTCCTAATAGGTTTGGGGCATTTCACGCGAATGTTTTAACGGTTGACATACTTGTAAAATTTACGTCCACTGAGTATCCCTCTCTCGCTAGAATGTTGTGTGTATTACGGTAAATATAAATGGGCTGTTTCTACTTTTGACTAATCTTGACTGCTCCAAATGGATGTTAGCTGGGCTGGTAGTAATCCAGTCGAAACGCGTAACTCAAACTCAGAGTTAACGCGCAGCATTCAAGGACTATTAATACGTGCACGAGCAAATCAAAAGGGCTAAAGAAGCGATATGGCAGGATACCGTAAGTTTAGCTTATCCCAAGCGTAGAAACATAGCGTATCTCGTTCCATGCAAGAAGCTGCGCGACGAAAGACGCAGCTGAGCTCTCCAGTTAACTATGAGGTTGGTGCGCGTTTCAAGCGCCCGCGATCAGAGTTAACTATGAGTTAGGTTAGAGGAAGAGAAATAGTGTGCAGAAGAGGAGGAGCAGCTAAAAGTCCTCCTGTGTAACTTGCCCGCAGTTTTAGCAAGAATGAGGGGTATTGTGATGCACTGCTGACCACCAAATTTTGGATAGTGAAACTTTGGCCTTGAGAGTTATACGCGATTGCGGTAGGATTATAGTTGTCAGGCCAGAGCTACATAATAAATTCAAAATCAGGCCAGTTGCGCTATGCGGTGCTGACCACTACTTCATTGCCCATTTTTCACTGCAGCGATGTATAGCGCAGGTTACGGTGGAGATGATGTAGATCAGTCAAAATTACAGAATTTGAACTGAAGCTTGGCAGGGTACTGCACTTTGATCACCAAAATCATAGCCACATAGAAATACCTTTCATAAAAAGGCTATCATTTGACTGTGCAATCAAAAATATGCTGTACGTTTTCAATGTGGATTATTATGTTACGGTGGGCATATACGGAAGAAAGGCGGAAGAAAGTTCACCTTTCTCAGCAGAGATGCAATAATATCAGGTAGCTTTAATTGTTTACTTCTAATATTATTTAGGTGCTGTCAGCACGAATAACCTCAAAAGAATTATTTGAAGGTTGTTATATTATCTAAAAGTCACATGAAAATCGAAAAACATTAGATTTCTAAATCGCCTTCAGATTTTCGATATAACTCGAAAGTCAATTTTAAATTTTGGCCAGATATTTGAGAATAACAGATTTCGGATGTATGATCACTGAATAGTTGAAATTTGAATATCAGTAGAAATTTTGAGTTCTATCAAGTTTGAGGCCATATCAATTAAGGAGAGAAGATGCGAGGGGGGGGGGGGAAGGGTTGTTGGTTTACGGTCTATGTGCGTCCTGTGCATCCTGCTACTGCTTCGAGAATTTGTGGAAAACAACATCTATAACTCAGAGAAAAGCCTAACGCCTTTCGACATTGACATGTATATGTGAGATATCTATCACGGGGATTCACTAATCTATAGCGGCAATGTCAACAAAAGTGGGTACTTGAGCTAGTGGTCTAGTAGTTCGGTCGGCTTCGTGCGCTGACTGAAGTTCATCATGGCTTCGTCGCAGTGTTTTGCAGTGGTGCATATGGCAACTTTTCAACATCTGTATTTGGGTTCTTAAGTGGCAGCACAAAACTCTGAGCTTGAGACTCCAAGTAAACGATTACTACGTTTATCATTATAATATAATAAAAAGATGCTGTGAGGATGTTAGCAGAGGTAGAGGTAAGAACGAGTAACTGAGTAAGAAGGTGTCTAACGAAAGTTTGACCGTAATTACTCTCTTGTTATGAAGTCTTCCGGAAAACTTTAGGCACTATTGTAGTGGCTTCAACCTAGATTTGGGTGTTGGAGCGGATTACCGATTGCTCTTCGCTACTGTGGGTTTCGTTAAGACATTTGAAGAGGGATTCGAGCCAGGGAGGGCCATATATTGCCCCAAATAAACCAAACGACTTGAAAATTTTTTGGGCTAATTACACTTGCTGAATCTAAACTTCAAGTTTACATCATATCGTAGTTTTGTTTAAAAAGATGCCAGGTAAGCAGTAATAGCCGTTTTCTCCACGTTCCTAGCAAGGACGTTTATATCGTTTAGACTTCACAATTCTGTACAAAGGCGAGCATTAAACTCAGCGTCACTTGGTACGCTATAACACGAGTCTTCAGATTTTTTAATGTCATTCAAAACGCAGTTTTTTCACAGTAAGGCCCTATGCAGGAATTCTTACCAAATCCTACAATAACGAAGAGCAGCTGATGATTCGCTCCATACTGTAATCTCAATTGTAGCCAATTCTATAGAACAGTACCTAAAACTTTTCGAAAGGCTTCATGACAAGGAAGTTGTCGATCAAAAGTTCATTACATATTTTGGGACACCCTGTATATAGGAGAGGCAATAATTAGGAGTGCGGTGAATCATACACGAAGTAGATAGGAGCAAGGATTTAAAGGATGCATGCAAAGCGAAAAAAATAGCCGAGGGGAGGGAATTGCAAAAGAACAAGAAGTTGGCGGGGCGGAAGCGCGTGAATAACTCTCTAACTATTGTGCGAGAGCATCCAGAATGCGGGACTAATTCTCTTTGAACCCGTACTAATCGCTGGGTGTTAAAGGCACCGTCTACCCAAAGTGGAGGTGGACGAGATTACGATGGCTTACGTGGGCCCCCACAATAGGCAAACCCCAAGTTGCGCCGCAAAGGATTGCTTCCGATGCTCCATCCGCTCCGGAAGGAGCAATTCTGAAGGTGATTACCCCACCCAGCTGGTCGCCCGCCCACTTTGCAGGCTTTTGTTTGCTGCAGCGGGTTCTTCACACGTGTTTTTGGGGGTTTTCACGGATTCTCAGCTTCACGAAATCAGGGCCTTCAGAAGGCCTGAAAGCGATAAAAACATGGAAGTTGAGAATTTGGGTAGACGGTGCCTCAATAATGCCTTATTGCTTTGGTCCTGTTTCTTTAGTGAGATTGTGCCACGTATACGGCGTGAGTTAAAATCGCGGACAATCTCGCACATGCGTAGTAGTTAGAGCGTCTTTCACGCAGGTCGAAGGAATTTGCATGGACAAAACGAGGCATATCGCTTGCTACTGCTAGCGTTGCCAGTGTACCCATCCTACGTGATGATCACTGCAATCGCAGCGTAGTACAAAATGTATCACCATGCGAATGTGCACAAAATTTGATGACATTGCAAAGCACGCTGTCAAAGGATCAGTTCACCGCTTTACTAGATACGAAGTTTAGTTCATGAATTTACGTCTAGAGTTAGATCGTGTTTGAGCATGTTGACTATGGCAGCGTTGGCCATGTAGCTGGGGTGTGGGATGATATCCACTCTGATCTCACAAAGGAAGGATCCCAACTTAAGTTGGCCAACTAGAATGAGCTTACCAGTAGATGCGCCTTGATGAGTTGATTCCAAATCTATCGTCCACATCTGCGAAGCCGTTCTCTGAAAAGTTATGGGCGGTTAAAAATGTAGAGTCATTGGAGTTTCAACGTATAGTGTGCTTTAGAATCCAACTTAGAAATGCGCGGCCAAAATGAGGGTGTAGTGGTTTGAAAAAAATGTCACATTTACGGGAAACACATACAAGTGTTTTGGTCAACTATTTCTTGAAGTGTGGAGCAGTTTGCCAAATGTAGACTTTCAATGCTTGTAGCTACTGAAAAAACTTTAGTTGTTTTTTTCTTGTTCAAAATACTTATTCCTGTTTCTTCTAAACATGAGCATTCCATGAAATCAGTACTCCTAATATAATGCTAATCATACGTTTTCAAATTCGATTCAAACACATTATGCATTGAAACCCCACAATATCACACTTTTAACCGCTCATAACTTCTTCCAGGAAACGGCATCGATATGAAAGGTAGATCTGGAAACAGCTCATCAAGACGCATCTAATGATATGCGGTTCGCTCGGGTAGGGAACAATACGTCGCCGAAAGTGGGAGGGTCCACTTTGCGAAGCAGAGGTGACACATTGGTGTGAAAAATTTTCGCATATTTATCAGATGAATAGAAAGAGCTTGGGAAGTTGTTTCCTTCGATATGTCACACATTAAGGGCTTCAGAATACAAAGGAACAAAATTGATTAACGTTCTAAGAAGTCTTTTCGACTTCATTGTGGTGCCACTTGCAGAGTTGTAAGAGGGGAGCAGCAGGGCGTTGTCAGAATAGCAAGCGAAGGATATATCGTAAAGAATATTTGCATTGCTCGCTGATTTTTCTGTAAAAAACCAAGGTGCCCTGTTACTTTCAGATCACTTTAATATTAGAAGATTCTTAAAACAAGATCTATTTATCGCAATCACTTTAATATTAGAAGATTCTTAAAACAAGATCTATTTATCGCAACTACAGTACTCGTGTTTCGATACACACCAGCCCTCATCATGCTGGCAGAGGTGGATCTAACCTTGAGAAACAACTCCAATAACTATCTTACCTTGAAGGCACCGCCCACCAAAAATGACGGTGATGATATTTCGTATGTAAATGCCGCCCCTTAACTGAACAATCTATCTCTCTACAAAAGATGGATTTCAAAGCGAGAAAGCCGCTTCAGAAGGTAAATGATGCCTCTACCCATCAACATGGGTGGTCTGAAGATTACGAGTCCGAAATAGGAACTCCAGTGGACAATGTCTCAATTCTGATGATCATAATGAAGGACGGATCCTTGGCAGTCCTGGACATTTGAGCCCAAGTTTGGACATACTATCTTCAGAGACCACCCATTTTGATAAGTGCAGTCAGCTGGGCCACTTCTACTTTCTCGTTTTGGAATGTTTTGCAGCACGTAGCGATTGCTTGGCTAGGGCCTGCGTTACATAGCATCAAAAACTCATCACCCTCAATTTGGTTAATAGTGCCTTTAATTACACCTTCAGTAATTGTACCTTGATTATTCCAAGATAGTCTCCATCTAGTGGTTCACCCCAACGCTGATACTGAACTAAATGCAGAGAGTGTGTCAATTAAATAATTTTTTCTTTTATAAAGCCGCCTTTTTGTACTTTTTATAGGCAGTTTTAGAAACTCATACGCTTGAAAATCACATCTGGCTTTGTTTAAGGCCGCCCCAAGCCGTTCACCATTGCATTTTTGGTTTGCGATATCGCTCTTGATCAGAGCATACGACCCATAACGTACGAAAGTGCATGTCCTAACAGAAGTAACAATCATTTTAGCGCTAAGAAAATAACTGTGGGGCGTCGTCAGTATGCACCTGTAGAAAACATGAGAATCATGGTTGTTACTGGAATTTGCCTAAAAGTATAATATTCTTGCCAAACCTGATACTTAGGGTTAAGGAACACACGATCTGCTGCAGAGAGATCTACCAGCGAGAGGCAACTTCATGCACCGCTAAAACACTGAAAGAAGTAGAAATGAGGGTGCATTCTCACACATCAATCAAATCTCCTTGTACACTGTTTGAGGTAGTCTTTATTTCAAAGTAGTTTCACGCCTAGGCTCAGCTTAAGAGTCTCGGAATGCGTTCCTCGCATGATAACGGTCAGCATTTCTTTTTGGAATTTAAGAATCAAAATCTGCAAGATGAAGTGCATAGTTGAAATGTAAATCGTGCATGTACGGCCTTTCCCATGTCACTTGATCTCACAAAAAATACTCAGTGACCGTGAGCTTTTGTAATATGTCATCAATGGTCAAACTATACTTTGTTCTTTGTTCGCGGAAATGAAGCAACCTACAAAGTTTGGTTTATAGTTCTCCACATTGACCAATACACCACTTTTGCAAACACGTCATCTTGGAGGTAAAGCCCATGACTGAAATAAAATTTTTTTAAAAACTCAAAGAGCCTTGCAAAAAAATTTTTAGGGGAAGGGAAAGGGGTAGTTTTCGCACGCTTCTTTTTCTGATATCCCGCGGTTATTGGTCCAAAAAACTTTGGAGTTACCCCAAAAATATTTTAAAAGCTTTGCTGACGCTAAGCGCCTTTATTCGAAACGAAACTTTTGCGACTCCCCTCCCTTCCCCACTCCCCCCCCCCTTGAACGGGAATTTTGGGACCACCACTGCTAAAAGACCAGATTTACTAAGCATTCTTTCCCACTAGCATGCATGATATACGCACTCGAACATGAATTTATTCGTTTTGCTTCCTTCTATTTCCATTGCTTCTGCTCGAATGATTTCATCGTGATATTTCCCAATTCCGTGGCGACTTTGAAGTTACACTTATGTGGGCGCTGGTATGCAATATTCGTCAGGCAGCAATCCGAAAATGCGCATTGCGTGTATGTGCTAGCCTATATATGAACCCGCAGAATGCGCAGCAATTTGAATACATCTTTTTAGGAACTGTCAATAACAGTTTCGAGATGAAGTGGTGTGTGAACGTGTTTACCACCGAATACATATCCAATTAATCAAAAGGAAGAACAAAACAACGAGTTTTAAAAAAAGAGCCTTTGATCTCAGAAGCCGTGAGGCAGCGCGCATGGTGTGCAATACGCATGTTAATGTAAAAAAATCGAAAACGAGATTGATTGCAGACTCTCTTTGGCGAGTATTTCTACCGTGCCGAATACATGTGTAACATGTTTGGAGGTCATCTGACTTCAATTCATAGTTTTGAAGAAAATTTATTCGTGGCCGGTAAAGTTACTCTGTTTTATTCAAATGCAGTATTCTAGCATAACTTGGATTGTGATTTAGAGTTGGCGACGATGAATAGGAAGTGGACTGACGCGCACGATCTGACTTGGATAGGCTTACGGTATGTAACAAATACCGGGAACTGGACCTGGTTTGACGGCACAGAAGTTGACTTTCTGAATTGGGGTCCTGATTGTCCTAACAACCATGGTGGCTGCGTCCTGGTAAGATTTTTTTTACCAATTGGTATAGGAGGTGCAAGTGTTGGTTGAGCCGAAGCCAACCTATGTATGCAGAATATGAATGATCGGAGAAACAATGACTCAAATTCCAGAAATCTTTTCATTCAGGCGTGCTTTTTGAGAGAAACATTTGTAAACAGCATTCTTTCTGATGCCATACTTTTGACTCCAAATCCGACAATATACTGAAGATCTTTGGAAAAAATAGTAGACCCATTTCAGTAGATTTCGCACGTGCTACGCTGTCCTCAAACTTTCCTACGCTTTTCTTTCGGTATCTGCTCTCTCTAATTCAGCAATTGAGTTGTTATCGCAATAGATCTTCAAAGTAATTGCAAGCAGGGTAAAAGCAAAACTTTTAGCATATAACGACCACTTATGACCAGGGTCCTTTGTAGTCGACGGGAGGAGTGAGAATCATAGAGCTGATATTGCAGTGATAACATGATGATCGTTTCTGCATGTCTGATAAGCCAAATATGCAAAATACAAGCTCTTTCTGCAAATACCATCACCCACCTAACGGCAATCCCGAAATCTCTTACTGTACAGGAGTGACAAAATTCTTTTGACAAGCGGAAAAGTATTCGGAAAATCTGGGATCATAACTCCAATTAAGTCATTAGCAGAACCTTTTATTTCATATAGGCTATTTTCATTTCTTTTTCTTCATTTTGGGAGGGGGGGGGGGGGTGTCTGAGGGGATGCGCCTGCGCCTCTCTTTGGTCTGCCACTGCTATCATCCACCTGATCTAAGCGTAACAAGGAGACTCTACCACACAAAACCAGCTCTACTTTCGTAATAAGCTTGTGAAATAACCAGTGTCAAGTATCAAAGAGTTTTAGGGTTTTGGCTTACAAAGTTGAGGTAGACATTTTCTACGCAAGTCAGAAAAAACGTTTCTCAGGAATTCTCTTCTCCATATCTGCGGAAATAGAACAATCTATACAAATTTGTAGCTCTCGCCGTAGGCTACATAATATCAAAAATGTGAACGCATAAATTTTCACATATAAGGATGTGAAGCGGGTGGTAGATGAGATGCAAATAAGTAAGTAGGATACCATTCGATAGAGAGAAGCAAGTTGTACAAGATGACGTTGAAACAATGGCAACGGTTGATTTGTGAAGTTTCTGGCTAAAATCTGGAGAGGTTTTATATCCTAAAAAGTACAAAAAATTCATATCTTCGCTCTAAAACACTGTGGGACTTTCCATGCTCAAGCATACGCTCCGTACAACAGAGAGTGATAGAAACCAATTCCTGAATTTTTGTGGTCCAGAAAGTGAAAAAAAACACGCCGGAAATGCTGAAATTCAACATCATCAGGTTTCTAATGCGAAAGTTGACTCTTTCAAAAAGCTAACGTTAGTTGAAGGTTGTTTAGCTGCACTTCCGAAGTAGTATAGAATTACTATTGTGCAAATGACTTAGCATCGCTTTGGCAAAGGCATGATAAATACCAATTTTGTAATTTCCAACAGCGGGTGAAAAACACGTAAAATCTGAATATGGATGAATAAAAAATGCTTGAGCAAGCTGGAGATCCGTAGATATTTCGGGACAATAACTTATCTTGCGATTTTCCTAAATTCGAAGCACTTCGAATTTTGACTGCGAATTTCATAAATTAAATTTGAGGGCCTCTTCGTAGAGCTTACTTTGTTCTATCATGGTAACTTATCCACTCTTTTGGTCAAGTTGCCTCTCGCATCACATCTTAACCGGTTATGCGGTAAAACTTTCTGCTCAAACTAATATATTCACGTCTATTTATTTATTTATTTATTTATTCCATACGCACGAAGCGTGCCATAATTGGAAAAAAAAGAGCAAAATACGTAGAGCATGAACAGTAAAAAATAACAAAACATCCCCAAAAGCTCAAGTCCAGCTCCGTGAGTGGAAGGAGGTTAAGCCTGTAGACAGTGTATGAATATCAGTGCAGATGCTCGGTGGAGTCTGTCCCATGCCCCTGCTTTGCAGCAAAAGTGCTCCTGGAGTATTCAACTTAAGCAATTGTAATGCGGGGAAAAGATGTAATAAGAAAAACTTGCCCGACTGAGTTCGGGGGAGAGAGCAGAACTCCGAGACAAAAGATTGTGATGCAAAAAAGATGTCAGGTCAGACAAGCTATTCCCAAATGATAACGAGAATGAGTGAACCGGACCCGAACCGCGTGTGGATAAAGTAAAAATCGGAACAGTGAGTGACGTGAAGGTCCACCGATCACAAGTTTGGTACTTGAGCAAGCTATCACTGGAAGACCTTCTGCGCGATGAGTGACAGACTAACAGAGTTGATCGGTTAAATGGCACTGGAGTAGGCCCGCGACACGCGTAGCAGTGAGTTGGGAAGGTTCGGCAGGCAAACGGTAACACTACACGACCGATGACAGGAAAGTCGTCTGGAAGAAAATCAGTTGAAATCAACTTCTTGAATAGAATCAGACAAATTTAGCTTCTTAAGTCTTCGTTTGAAAGTGAGACTGTCTGGAGAAGACAAAATTTCTTTAGGTAAGCATTGAAGGTATTTTGAAGTGCGTGCAAAAAAATATATAATATTAGCTATATAGTCTATATTAGCTTCTCAGAAATCTCTGACCCCCTTTTTCAAATTTCTGTACCAAATGATCCTTCTGTACCAGCCGTACCAACGTGAGCACAGAGATCGTCGGCACTTTTGGTTGCCACTTACGATGCAGGATCATATGGATGCCTCCAAACTCGCTCCTCACCCTCAACGACACCCAAATGGCTCATGACAGAGAACGTCCACCATTCTCAATCAAAGCGCTACAGGTGGAATTAACAAAAGTATGTTCCGAGCGCATGCTGAAGTAACATCTCAGAAGCATGCAAAGTCATCATCGAAAAAGAGGAAGACCCGGACAGTGCTGCTAATCGCGAAGCTAAGGCAGACAGACAACGATGGCTGGCCAAAGTTCGCTGCATATTAGGCTTTAGTTCCACCTTCAACTCGAGGAGTGCGAATGGAACTCTTGCTAAACACTTCAATTGACGACACAAGCTAAGATGAAAATGACGGATATGCAGAACACACATCACAAACATCTAATCACGGAAACGCCAGCTATCACCAAGACGATCACCGATAACGATTCTGTCAACTCAAAATCGACGAGGGCAGATCCGACGAGGAAGAAGAGACGAAGAAGAAAGGCAAAGCTACACCATGAAACAGCAACCAGCACCACTGCAACTGTTTACCCTAAATTCTCTTCTATCTATAGCTTCCATTAATATGTCTAAGTTTATACAGTTCTATGCATTGGTTATATTTGTGCCTACCAGATTAACTTCTTGCTTGCTCGCCCGGAGTGTTGATGATCTATAAATCATCAACCTCGACAACCCATCTAATCCATACTCATGAATACAGCTATATCTCCATTTTTAAGTACAAATGCTTTTAAGAGGTTTCGATTGTGCTGATTTTTATATTTCACAGATTTCGCCTCTTGCTTGCTCGCCCGGAGTGTTGATGATTCATGTATCATCAACCTCAACAATTCTATAATTCTAATAGCATACGGTTATTCCCCACAGGCTATATTCCCCAACTGCTTATATCTAAGTGCCGAATCACTCAAAATGAGTGGCACCTATCTTCCAGGGGCCGCGCCAAGCCGCGGCATCCTCTTTCATCGTAAATCTTCCTTATGCAGCTTAATCGTGCACGGATCAGCTCCGCCTTGCCACCTATATAAGGACCCCCCGATTGTATTAGAGGTTGCTCCCCCCGGTTCAACACAGGGTTCGTTTCAGTAAATTATTTCAACGACTCTACTGTCGTCAACAAGACATTTGTTTCCACCAAATTACCCTCGTTCAAAAAGAATCTACTTTCGGAACGACCTAATAGGTAGAGTAAGAATTATAGGGATATCTAGAGTAATGTGACGCGTTCCCTCTTCCTCTTCCCTCGTTACCGGAGATGTATGTGCGTAGGCGCCTAAGAATTGCATTGTTGGATTATCAGCATCAGCACCAAAATGATTACTTGAAAAAACCAATACACCATTGATCAAGCATTTTTATATCAATTTCCATCTGTATTCAAGTTACTGAATTCGATTTAGTCCTACATCTTCTCAATGTCGTTGAGGTTTTTCTTGGTGCTTATGGCACAGCTCATAACATTGAAGAATTTTATTTGCAACTTCAAAATTTGCTATTTGACTTTTGAAAAGGCAAGAAAAAAGGATGATCTATGCCACCGCAAAAATCCGACATGCCGGTCACAGAAAACGAGCGCCATCTGCATTTTAATATTTTAAGGGTCACATGTTCTTACTTTACTGTACGTATTCAAGCTCATTTTTAACAAAGATATACGATTTTAGCTGTGGAGTGATCCTCATCAAGACATCTACTTTGCTAAGGTGTATCAAAAGTGGATTGATTATCCTTGTGATCAGATATTGAGAGCGTATGTATGCAAGAAAATGGCTTCGCATTGAAGCAAAACTGTTCCAAGTCTGTTTGTTGGGTTAGATGGCTTATGGTGGACAGAAGAATAAATTTTGATGTGTTTCAAGATTTGGAGAATGGAGGTTGGACCAGGACAGCTAACCTCTGATAATGTCCTTCGCCTATATATGTATACACAGAGTGCTCAGGTGGTTGCATTGTTTTTCTAAGTTTTTTTTATCATGGGCACGCATGCATTATGTCATTATTCGATAATAATGACAACAACCCATCAAGTACAATTGCAAAGCTATCATCACACTTTGCTGAATTTAGAGACCATCGGTCAAAACGGCAAGATGTCCCAAAAATAAGTACATCATTTAATCGTTAATTACTCTCTTCCACAAAGTATTTCACTTAGCTCCTGCCGTTCAAGAGCAGGGTTCGACTGAGATTTGCAGTTTGAAGTAAATCACCCATTGCTTTTCATTATTGCGGGATTATGGTGGGAGCTTTCAGTATACAGGCCATCCTAAATTTGGCAATCTTAAGAAAACTTCCGGAAATATGTGGGAAGTCGTGTATGGCGTTTGGGAAGTCGTGTACGGTGTTTTCAGACATGCTGATTCCATGAGACAACTTTTTACGAGTTTTTTGAGCATTTCAAGTGGTTTCCACAATCTTGAGAACCAATGTAAAAACTTGTTGCTATTTAACTGACATAATAACTTATGAAAAAAGCTCGGTAAACTGCGTATTTCGTGTTCTTATTAGGCATCTCCATTTAGCTCATTGATAAAGTTACTTGTTGAGTATCCATTCTGAAGCAAATGTGGCCAATTTGACTCAAAACTTTTTTCAATGTCCGTACATAATCCTAGGTAACAGAATGCTATGGATGGTTCGCTTCATACCGTGAATCTAAGCTGAAGCCTGCTTTACTAAACTACTCAAAGCTAAGCAAAAAACTTTGCGGGAAAAGAGTTATCAACAAATGAAAAGCGTGTACTTACTTTTGGAACGCCATGTATTAGGATAATGGCACGATGTTTGCAGAAAAATGAAACAATACAAAAAAACACAAAAAATAGAGATCATCAGCAAAATGTCGAAATAAAAAAAGATAAAATTTGTGCATGAAAGTGGGGCTATTGGGACTTTCAACAGCATTAAACTGAAATTGCTGTCGAAGTGACAAGATGAGCTTTGCCGTCACATGTTATCAAAAAATCAAACTTCTCCGACTAATCCTGCTTCTTGAAAGTTTTTGTTTTGTAGGCAAGGAAAGAAAAAACATTTTGTTATTTGATTTGCAAAACTTTATTTACACTGTGCACTACTACGGTAGAAAAATGGGATAAAATGTTACACAAACTGCTGGCCTTATGCGTTCCAAAACTAAAATTTAGAAAGACGTTGTTCATATTACCTAACTTGAAAATATTTTGAGTGGAAAGAACGAAGCGTTGCTTTGCAAAAGTTTCAAACGACTTGCCATTTTTACTGGCCAGAATGCAATTATCAAGGGGATGCATAGCAGCTCATTAACTCGAAGAATTGCCGCTCTCCACACTAATAGCAGTTCAACAATATGGAAAAAGTACTGTCCCTCCAATGCAAGTCTTAGATGTCTCAAAGATAAAAAAGAATTAAACTTTCTTTATTTCACTGTGTAAGGGAGACCATAATTTGAGTTAAGTTTTACTTCCAACCGCCCATGTCCATCTACGGTGATAACAACAGCGAGGATGCTTATCGATAAAGCGGCGCATTTCTCGAGCACGCTTTCAGCCGCCACTTAAAAGCAGCGTCCCACCAGACTGGGGGTACCTGTCAGAGCCGGGGAACGGAACTTAGGTCCCCTGACAGCCAACTGAGATGTAATTTTGGAGGTCATGAGTTGTCAAAAACGATAATTAACACATCTGCGGAGCGCATGCTAGGCCCCGGCTCTATCCAGATCTTTCGCAACCTAGCAGAGGTCCACCAGGACGCGCCCCGTGATAATGAAACGGGGATTTCAAACGAAATTGAAATGCAAAGTTCAGTATTGAAGTTTCACCAAACAAAGTGAAAATTTGGACTTAGGGGTTTTCAAGTACGCTCTTTCCAAATATATAGAGAACTTTTTCATAAGAACATGTACAAGGCTTGTAAAAAAAATTCAATTTTTTTGTATTTTGTTTTCATGGAATTTGCCACTGTAAAAATTTTGATACTCGGAACGGTGAAGCATGAAAATAATTCCACTAGCGAATACGATGAAATTCTCTGATATCTACGATATGTTTTTTTTTGAATTGGTTGAAATTTGATACAAAAAATTGATTTTTTTTACAAACCTTGTACATGTTCTTATGAAAAAATTCTCTACATATTTGGAAAGAGCGTACTTGAAAATCCCTAAGTCTAAGTTTTCACTTTGTTTGGTGAAACTTCAATACTGAATTTTCAAATGCAATTTGTATGAAATTCCCTGTTTCATTCTTAGTAAGCGGTCCGTGGTGAGCTTTAAGGCAGATGGGATTTCCATATTTGAAAAGAGCGTACTTGAAAACCCCTAAATCCAAGTCTTCACTTTGTTTGGCGAAATTTCGATACTGAACTTTGCATTTCAATTTCGTTTGAAATACCCGTTTCATTATCACGGGGCGTGTCCTGGTGGACCTCTGCTAGGTTGCGGAAGGTATCTGGATAGAGGCGGGGTCTAGCATGCGCTCCGCAGATGTGTTAACTATCATTATTGACAACTCATGACCTCCGAAATTACATCTCAGTTGGCTGTCAGGGGACCTAAGTTCCCTCACCCGTCAGAGCCAGGTAGCCACACAGTGAAATAAAGAAAGTTCAATTCTTTTTTATCTTTGAGACATCTAAGACTTGCATTGGAGGGAAAGTACTTTTTCCATATTGTTGAACTGCTATTAGTGTGGAGAGCGGCAATTCTTCGAATTAATGAGCTGCTATACATCCCCTTGATAATTGCATTCTGGCCAGTAAAAATGGCAAGTCGTTTGAAACTTTTGCAAAGCAACGCTTCGTTCTTTCCACTTAAAATATTTTCAAGTTAGGTAATATGAACAACGTCTTTCTAAATTTTAGTTTTGGAACGCATAAGGCCAGCAGTCTGTGTAACATTTTATCCCATTTTTCTACCGTAGTAGTGCGCAGTGTAAATAAAGTTTTGCAAATCAAATGACAAAATGTTTTTTCTTTCCTTGTCTACAAAACAAAAACTTTCAAGAAGCAGGATTAGTCGGAAAAGTTTGATTTTTTGATAACATGTGACGGCAAAGCTCATCTTGTCACTTCGACAGCAATTTCAGTTTAACGCTGTTGAAAGTCCCAATAGCCCCACTTTCATGCACAAATTTTATCTTTTTTTATTTCGACATTTTGCTGATGATTTCTATTTTTGTGTTTTTTTTGTATTGTTTCATTTTTCTGCAAACATCGTGCCATTATCCTAATACATGGCGTTCCAAAAGTAAGTACACGCTTTTCATTTGTTGATAACTCTTTTCCCGCAAAGTTTTTTGCTTAGCTTTGAGTAGTTTAGTAAAGCAGGCTTCAGCTTAGATTCACGGTATGAAGCGAACCATCCATAGCATTCTGTTACCTAGGATTATGTACGGACATTGAAAAAAGTTTTGAGTTAAATTGGCCACATTTGCTTCAGAATGGATACTCAACAAGTAACTTTATCAATGAGCTAAATGGAGATGCCTAATAAGAACACGAAATACGCCGTTTACCGAGCTTTTTTCATAAGTTATTATGTCAGTTAAATAGCAACAAGTTTTTACATTGGTTCTCAAGATTGTGGAAACCACTTGAAATGCTCAAAAAACTCGTAAAAAGTTGTCTCATGGAATCAGCATGTCTGAAAACACCGTACACGACTTCCCAAACGCCATACACGACTTCCCACATATTTCCGGAAGTTTTCTTAAGATTGCCAAATTTAGGATGGCCTGTATACTGAAAGCTCCCACCATAATCCCGCAGTAATGAAAAGCAATGGGTGATTTACTTCAAACTGCAAATCTCAGTCGAACCCTGCTCTTGAACGGCAGGAGCTAAGTGAAATACTTTGTGGAAGAGAGTAATCAACGATTAAATGATGTACTTATTTTTGGGACATCTTGCCGTTTTGACCGATGGTCTCTAAAATCAGCAAAGTGTGATGATAGCTTTGCAATTGTACTTGATGGGTTGTTGTCATTATTATCGTATAATGACATAATGCATGTGTGCCCTTGATAAAAAAAACTTAGAAAAACAATGCAACCACCTGAGCACTCTGTGTATACATATATAGGCGAAGGACATTATCAGAGGTTAGCTGTGGGCGGAGCTTTCCCCAGTGCGATTTCACGCTCCCAGCTCCCGGAGCGATTTTCTCGATTTCGCTAGCCGTCCTAACATCGCTACCGGTCAAGTGCGAATGATTGACTTGAAAGCGGAAGCGAGAAGGTCGCTCCGGAAGCCGGGAACGTGAATTCGCAGTGGGGAGGACCCCGCCCACCTGCTCATTTCCTTACTGTGTTAGAGCCGTTTTTCGCCATTTTCGCGCTCCACAATGTGCATTTTCGGATTCAGCGTAGCGAATAGGCCCAAGTAAGCACAAAATCTCAAAATCGAGTTTTTGCCCGGACACTGCCTTTAATTGAATGAAAAGCGTATCGACTACAAATCGCAGCAGCGCTCGAATTTTGGTTATAAACGCAAACTACAGGCTGTCAAATTGCCCCGCCCAACTCTTTTCGCCAATGACGTTGATTCTGTGAGCCAGCCACACTTCAATGGAGAGCTCGAAAGATGTGCAAGGTGTTGATCAAACAATATTTATGGTAATCAAAAATTCGGTTATCAGTGCGCAAAGGCAACACCTTCAAAGACTTACTTAACGGGGAAAGTTTGGGGTGCATATTGGTCAAGTTTTCAATTTCTTCGAAAATGTTTGCAAGCACCACCCTAGAGTCGCGAATGTTCCTATTAACAGCTCTAGTTATATATCTCGTAGCCACCGAAAAGCACTCCTGCACTGATTATGCCTGAGAAAATAGTACACAAGCAGGCTGAGCCTAAATGGACCTTTTCACCTTTTGCGCATACAA